ACTATTTCGATCCGTAACACTTAGATACTCTACTACTAGTAAATAGAATAATAATAGCTAAAATATTCTATCTAATAAGCTAAGATCTCTATACTAAGTTATTATAGTAAAAGCTTAAGCTGTCAACTGACTGCGGTAGCCAACTACCTACCTTAGGTACCTAGTCATGATACCACACACATACCAAGGTGTCAATTGACTTTGGTTGCTGACTCAGCGAATCCACCCTGCTGGTAAAGCTTATTTGGCGCGTGCTCTTTCCTCGCCAATGCCGAATCTTTTCTCCTCGAAGACTTCCAATTCGCGAAACCATCATTTCCTCTGCGAAGGATAACTATTCACCACACAGCTACGCGACATGGAAGCTGGAATCAAGCGAAAGGCTCATGACGCTGCGGAGAATCCGGAGAAGCGGGCGAGGGTGAGTACAAATCAATCAATCTCTGTCCGAGAACGCTCCGGGCGGATGAATCACCCGTAGCTAGATAAGAATAGCATCACTGATCTGCCTCCAGACCAAGAAGCAATGGCGCGTGCCGAGAAAGAACGATCACGGGGCCCCACATGCCAAAGTCATCGAGCCTGGCGACAGCGGGGTCTGGATCACTTGCCAGAAGGGCAAGGAAGTCAAATGCATAGGCGAGATGAAAGACCTCTTCGCAGACTATGGTCAACGCCTGTATCCCCAAGTGACAGACGCCAAGAAAATTGACGCCGGCGGCGACGCTGACGGAGTGGACGGAGACGACATTGAAAAAGCCATCAGAGCAGAGGTCGATGACATCCGAAAGCCGCAGGGCGCTCGCCTTTTCACCCCGGTCAGCACAAATATGCAGTGTGGTAAGCCATCTTCAGCCCCCAAAAGCGCATTTCGATATTGATCGTTCGTCAAGTGATCTTCTTCAAGACGAGCGCTCCGGTGGATCCTGTGTCGTTGGTGAAGACGATTTGCGAGGACGCCATGTCGGATAGCGAGAAGAAGCGGACGAGGTTCGCCAAACGCCTGTCGCCAATGACACTCATGGGCCGAGCTTCGACGGAAGGTCTCGAGAAGGTTGCGCAGGAGGTCCTTGCTCCGCACTTCCACCAGGAGCCTTTCCAGAAGCGAAAGGTATGCAATCTTGTGAAGATATCCAAGGAAGCAGGATCAGCATGTCATCTCCGTACGGCTGACACTTGTTCTGGCAGTTTGCAATCCGGCCGACACTTCGAAATCATAATATCCTGACGCGAGACAGCATAATCAAACAGGTCGCGTCCATCGTTGGTCCGGGGCATCAGGTTGACTTGACGAACTACGACTTGCTCATTGTCGTCGAGGTCTACCAGGTCAGTGGCTCGCAAGCACCTCGCATAGCATCGCATGGGAAACACGCTAATACGCTCTCTCAGAACGTGTGCGGTGTCAGTGTCTTCGATGACAGCTTCGAAAAGCTGAAGCGTTACAATATTTCGGAGATTTTTGACCCTACGCCCAGAGAGGAGAATGCGACGAGCTGATCGATACATGGTCTTTCCACATCGGAAATTGATGCGTTGGTGAGCAAGCCGCCGAAGACTCAACCCACAGGGCACTCACTCTGCCGCCACCAGATGAGCCATGCGAATTGTCAAGGAGTTGTTCCGGGTCGCGGCTGCGCCACAGAGCGGCTGCGTCAAAGGCGTATCATGGCAGCTCCGACAACTTGGTTTAACACCTGTAGATGCAACGGGTACTACCAGTCTGTCGCGCATTCTCTCGATCGGCGACGCGTGTATTCCAAGCAATGCCTGCATACAGCGAATAAAACGAAAGCCACGGAAGCCAGTGACGTTTCTTTTGTGTACCTCATCTGTCCGGCTTCCTCTGCCCTGGACCGATTTGCTGGGAATCGAAAACAATTTCTCGCTTGCTGGAACGAGGCGGCCAGGCGGCCTTCCACATTCCACCCGAATACATCTTGCTCGGGGAGCATCGGGAAGGCGCTTGGCTTGGGTCTATGATATCACACGTTGCGATGGGCAAGGCGATGGACGAGCAGCACAGCAGACACTGAGCCGTGGGTGATAGTTGGGCTCCCGTGCGCATGTGCATGCTGCAGATGTACGCGGCCACACTCCCAATATCCTGGACACGGTGCGGCCGCGTACCAAGATCTCTGCAACTTCCCGATCCAACACGTGCCCATGCTCGGTCCTGGTACCACAGTACGACCAAGCCACGCGCCTCATCATGGATGCATCCATCTCGCGCACACCACACCACACACCAGCAGCTGCAGCTCTTGGGGCGTGGAGGTTCCGATCTCCCGGGCTAAGTTAAGGCTCCGTTCCGCCAGATCTCCGTCGCACTGCACTTGCGCGCGTGGCTCTCGGCCTGAGGCCGACTGTGCGCTCGTCACAGTCTCACATTCTCGTCGTACCGGGGTCTTGCACCACCGAGTGTCGAATGTATAGAACCGTCGAGCAGTCTCCGACGCTTTCATTAACGACAGCTCGCGATGGAATTGAAACTCGTCGTCCAGCTGTGAGCTGCTCGGACGGCGCCCCGGTCTCGGCATCCCGGCTGCAGCGCGTGATTGGCCGAGGCGGATCGGCACTAGCACCATTCGCGGCGAGATAGACGAGCCGCCATCACATCTTGTTCGCGTGTCCCGAGCCTATTTCGCAGGCGCAGCGCCGTCCGGCTCCCGTCCGGGCTCGACACAAACCACGATTGCGCTTGAGATGCGAGGATTTGACATTCCATTGACCTGACACTCTGGGTGCCTCGGCCTGCAGCCCGTCGCCCGTCGCCCTCGATTGGCACATCGACCCGGGAGAATCTGGTACGCACGACCGGCTGCTGTTACGTTTCGCCCCATGCCACGGCCTGGTGCCTTGGCCCGCAATATGCTCACTGACATCGGCTACTCGCCGCTCCACCACACATATTGCCCTCTAAGCGGATGGCGCTCCAGTGCGAAGGAGTCTGACGCTCGTCGTGGCGGTCATAGATGTAATGCATCTTCCCAAACCGCAAACACCCCCGGTCTTCTTCGGATTCCTCTGCAGCAGTCGTCTGACGACAACCTCCCAGCGTCCGTCACCAATTTCGCCTCAGGGATTTGGGGAGATGCCCGGTGCTGAAGCAAAGTGACGGACACGTTTCAACGACAATACAAATATGCTCTTGACCGGTGAATACAAAATGACTGCTTGCCTGCCATTACCTCCCACCACGTCAGTGAACAACACCAAAGCCAACATGTCTACCTCGTCCAAGTCTCCAGACCGGGCTTCCGTCCAGCAGGTTGCCAAGAAGGCGCTCCAAACCAAGTCCGTCTCGGTCGAGAGATTGGAGGGCAGTGTCTTTCGAACATTCCGACTCCAACCACCTTCAGACTACTTTTACGTGCTAAGGTGCCGGCCATCTTCTCATGTGAGACTCCTTCGCCACGAAGAGGGACGAGTGCAAATTGAAGCCTCGATATTGCAGACATTACGAGGCCGATCCGACATCTTGATTCCCAGGCTCATCGAATCACATTCCACTTCGTCGACAATCGGAAGCTACTACCTCATCAGCGGGCCTTTCAGAGGTGCCAGCTTGGCGGATATCGAACCTCAGCTGTCAAGAGATGCTCTTGCCAGCGTGGATCGGAGTGTTGGACGCTACGTCCGTCAGCTCAAACGATTGCCGCCGGGCAGGGCTTTTGGCGCCATCACTCCCACGAGCGGCACGGCCCCTACCACATCATGGTACAGGTGCTTTGGCGGCATGCTGGAGAATCTCCTGCGGGATGCCGAAGACGCACTCGTCAGTCTCCCGTATGAGTTCATTCGAGACCAAGTCCGACGACACCAGAAAGTTCTCGACCAGATTACGGAGCCGAAATTGACCTTGCTGGAAATGTACACCGACAAGAACATCGTCGTGGACACCAGCAGCTACACTGTCTCTGGACTCATGGACTGGTCATCGGCCATGTGGGCGGATCCTTACATCTCGGATTGCTTCTATCGATGCTCGTATGGGTTTGAAAGTGGATTTGGATCCCTCCCGAATCGCAATACGGACGAAAGAATTCGGCAGTATCTGTAAGTGAAGTCTGATCCGTCATGTCGTAGCACCCTAGTTAGCTTGTTTTTTTTCTTACTAATCCGATCGATCAGATATACCCTGTACCACGCCCTCGCAGCGGTTGTGCGACTCTGCTATCGACCCTCCGAGGATGGCGACGAGATGGCCGCTCGGAGGGATCTGACCGCCGCGCTGTCGAAATTATCGAGTCTCTCGCGATAATGAATTGGGCCGTCGATCAAATTTATCGAGGACCCCTTTGCTGTGTGTATAATTCCACGGAAATGAATTTTCCAGGTCAGGAAATCCCAACGACGACATCCGTGCCTCACGGACGTGCGGCTCTTTCCGGCTGGGAGAATTTCTTTTTTTCCTGCTGCCCACGCGAATGGTCACACGACAGCAAGCATTTATCTGCACGTGCGCTGTAATCAAACGAGCACAATGTGCAAGGAACACAGAAGAAGAAGAACAATCGTGCGACAGGTCGTACACGTACACGTACACACACGGCGGGCGGGCCCAAAGAAGTGCCGAGCGGGCCACAACGTGGCACATGGTTGAGGTCTGTCGGTAATGAGATGAGATGAGATGAGGCAGAGCTAGATTGATTTCGATCGTGGAACGTTTCGAAATTATAAAGAAAGCTGTCGGATCCGCCTTCGTTGGAGGAGATCTTTTTCCGTCATCGATAATAATTTTCTAGACCATGCGGGAGAGAGGGGAGAGGGGGAGGCAGGACCTTCTCTGACTCCGGTGCTCAGGCTGTCTGGACATTGAAATGACAATTTCTTGAAAACCAAAAACCTGCTCTTTTTCTGAGCCAACCTTCTTGTCTCATCTATCTATGCCACGTCAAAACCTCCTACATCATCACATGTCGTCTCTTTTTTGAATCGTCTCATGCCTCACGGCACAGCCAACCCCCCAATAAGGCAACAAGGCAACACCACTCAGAAACAAATCAAACCTCCTCCCCAGCCTCCCCCTCAGGATCCGGCAAAATGCTTCCCGCCCGGCCCGTCCTCCTCCTCGTAACGCCACGACTGCGACTGCGACTAAAAACGCTCATACCCCCTCCCCAGACCCCACTCGTAGCGACCTCACTCATACTCCTCCGTCTCGGCCACAATTCCCCATTCTCATCAAACCCACTCACCACCTCCTCGGGGTCTTCCAATTCATCCAACACCTCCTGCGGCGGGTCCGTGTCAAAGACGGCCTGGAGATCCCCGTGTGCGCCGAAACGTTCCCACATGCTCAACCACGTGCGCCGCCGCGAGGGGGAGAGGTGTCGTGCTTTGGACCAGAGGTAGTTTCTTTCGTACCACGAGATGAGTAGTAAGATTGGGGCGTTGAGAATCCGGATCGCGGTGATGTTGACTTTGTGAAACCACCTCGGCGACAAGAGGAATTTCAGTGGGAGCAAGAACACCAGCGCGAGAACATTAAATGGCGGTCGATAGGCGAAAATGGCATCGGACTTCACGCCTTCGAACGTCAGGACCGCTCGTCGGAATTGAATCTCGGCCGTCGCGTTGCGGGAGAGAGTGTTGTACGTATTCGAAAGCATGGCCACCAGAATCGTCAGGAAGAGCGTATTGCCCAGGAAGGCAAACGTGATCATCAGGATGGGTCCTAGGAGCCAGTGCATTTCGACCGATCTTTGGATTCCCGTGCCGTCCAGTCCGAACCAGATCCAGAGCATCCATTTCGAAATCGTGATGACGGTATGTTTGAGGAAACCTTCCTGTCCTTCAGATAGCCAGGCCAAGGCGAGGATGAAGCCGCCGAAACACCAACAGGCCAGGACTGTCAGAAAAGTGAAATCGGCCATCATGGCTCGAAGCGAAATGAAAAGCATGTTCTCGCTCATGAGACAGAATGCCAATCGTGGGAGTAGGACCGGTGCACCCATACTCAGGATCTGTTCTGCCAGAGCAGCGCGTTCATGATCATCCAGAGCGAGAGCCTGCATTCGCACCCCGAAATAGGCCCAAAAAATGAGCACGAAGGTGAGATCCAGGAAAGACCACAGATTCTCCGTGTGCACCGTCCATCCATGTTCGAAGATACTCGCCACCTCATCCAGATTCCACCCAATGGCGTAGACGTCGAAGATAAGCTCCATGGTGGTGAATTTCAGATGGGAAGGTCCAGTGGTCCTAGCCTTGGAAACCATCGTTGCGATATAGAGAGCCAGCAAAATCGTAAACTGTACTGCCTCGATTACATTTCTCGTCCTCGGTACGATGAGGCGGTATTGGTTGAGGATCGGGGCTTTGCGGGGATCGTAGAGCGTGATGCCACGATTCTTATAGTGGTCGGGTAGAATGTCGATGAACGAGGTTGGGGTGTAGATGATACGGCCACGATAGACGTTTTCGACGATTTTCTGGCACGCGGAGGTGGAGAGAAAGGCTTTTGCTTCGGATACAATGGCGACTTCGAGGGCGGTGAGCATGCGCTGATATTCGGGTCTCGCCAATTTCCACCGAATAGTCCAGTGAAGTTCCGTTCTGTTTTCTCTCGCGATATCGATTGGTGCGTTTTGGAAGGGCTCGAAGCCTGCTACGAGGACATTCGCAAGCATCAAGAGCCCCATGCGGCCCTCGTGGTCTTCGTCGAATCTTCGGAGGATCCTGCTCGCGACGAGCTCGCAGAGTGTCGCGCGGGTGAGGTTGACAGTCTGGTGATGTGCCTGGTACGACTGCTCGCGCAGGAATTGAACGCGATTAACCAGCAAGCAGAAGACGATAGACACGTCGTCCGGGTCGTAGAGGTAGTCTACCAAAGGTCTGACCACGGCCACGTTCATGCGCGGGCTCTTCAGTTGGTCGGTGCTGTATGGATCGTCTAGCGTACACCAACATGTTGTATCAGCCTAATGCTGCGACGCACAAGCCGAGAGATATGAGAGTAGTCGTAGTAAGACCTACCGATGCTCGCAATCACCAACCTCCGGATCTTATGAATCGTCGTGTACACCGGCAGACCCTGATGGGGATTCGGCACGGTGGGATCAGAATTTTTGCGCGGAGGATAGCAGCCATCGTCGTCCGCTTCCTCGTGTTCCCCTAGTAGAGTCTCCTGCTCCTCACGCGATCGCGCCAGCCGCAATGCCTCGTTGATGTTCTTCGCACTGACGCCTCTTATCGACTTGCGCTGCGGCATTGGAGGCCGTACGGGCGATTCCATGCGGATGTGCGCTGATGAGCCGCCATCGCTGCCCAGTCGTCGCCGCCACCATTCCGTATCCGCAGCATCAGAGGGCCGTGTCGCTTCCGCTATCTCTTCAGCGTTTGCGTCTGCGTCTGCGTCTTCTCCTTCTCTTTCTCCGTGTTGGCTTTGTCGTCCCGATTCGACGTGATTGCTCGGCGCGCTGGTCAGGGGCAGGGAGCGCGATTGCGGCGTGGGAGAAGGCATGAGTCCTAGGGCTACCGCTGCAGCATGATTCGGAATGGTGTTTGTGAAGAGAAATGAGGCTTAGGAAGCAGGTGTGTCATTGTTCGTGAAGCTGGGCCCAGTTTCATGCATGTCGCGAGATGTGATGCCACGTCAGGATCGAAGCTTCCTTGGACGGAACATTTACGGTTGCCTCATATTTCACGCATCACGCGCAGCGTCATTTTCGGGTCGGGGATGGAGAGAAAGCGGGCTGCTAGTGAGCGTTGTGACGAAGCTAGAAAAAGCACGTGTGCTGTTCCATGAGCTGTGACAAGCGGCGCCGACAGCGGTAGAACTTGTTCTACCCATCAGACAAGTTGTACGCTTCCCATGATACGGACAAGGACCAACATATCTCCTCGCGAAGTGCACAGTAGGTGTCTCAGTGAGAGCGCTGTGTTGCCCACACGGCCAAGTATACTTCTACGGAGCCGGCTTCACCACGGCTGGAATCTCACGGCCCAGCACATTCAGTTCAACATCACCCGGAACCCATCCCAAAGACTCAGCTTCCTCATCGATTCCCACCCTCTCAACTTCCCACTCCTCCACAATCTTCTTTGCTGGCCCTGGACTCCCCGCAAACGTGACCTTACACTGCACCCAAGAAGGCGTATCTCCGTATCCATTCAACCTCCGCGGGTCGTTGGGTCTAACGCAGAATCCATTGTTATTCCCATACTGATACACGTCTGACTGCCCGAATATGTTCACGGCACATGACGTTTGTCGGACCGCTGGAAAAGGCCAACCCGTACGTAAAGTTGCGTCTATGAAAATAGCCTCAATTGTGCGTGTTGGTTGGAACACCACCAATGTATCCGGAATAAGATGCGAACCAATTGAATCCACCGGCCGTCGGATTGTTCTCATTATCAGGAGGCGTCGTCCAAGCATCATCAGACCATTATCTCCAGTCGCGCTGGACACCATTGGAATCGTTGACCGTATCCCAGTAGTGAATGTTGGTCGAAAGCGTCCTGAATATCTTATTGCAAACTGCTTGGATGTCTTGCTGCTATACCGGCGTACACGCGACTGGAGCAACTACCGGAGCTGTAGGTCTTCTGCCAGAGTATCCACCGCCCTCTTCCACCGAGCGAAATGGGAACTCGTTGCAGCTAGCGAGAGAGCTACGTGTGGCGGCTCTCTGAACAAGAGTGTTGGAAGTACTACGGACATCCCCGAACCACATGCGAATTTTCTCCGGTCGTTTTCGCGGCCTGCGTCGGAGTCGTAAGTCAACACGAGCCCGATGTTTGGCACTGCGAGTGAACTGAATAGAGTGTGCTGGTTCTCACAAATACCAGTGATTCTCTGGCTCCGGACCTGCACATTGCTGAAAATACCACAGTTGATGCGAAAGTCAGGTAGCGTAGTGCCGCAAGGGGTCGCCGTGTTCGCTCGTTTAGCAAGTGCTGGTGTGGATGCTGTAGACATTGAGCTCGGACATGTCTTGCATGGGCAGTCCGCCTCTAGAAGGCTTTTTTTTTAGCGGCATCCAACTATTAAGCCATCGCAATCGTTGCCAGAACTTACCTCGAGGGCAATCAAAGAGCTGACTTCTCTACGTTCAATGAGCCATTAGAAGATTGAATTTCGCTGTACAGGAGAATGCCGGCCGTGTTCGAACACGAACCCGGCGGACCAGCGGTCGAAGATTGGCAGATTCCGTTTGGCTGGCGACAGCTGGCGTCGGCCATCGTGAAGGCGCGGCCATAAAAGCCGAAGCCTATAACGACGTTACCGGGATCAGCTTCGTTCCTCCAAAGCAAGTCTGGCCCTTGATCGATCTAGAAGATGTTGGTGTGTCCAAGTAGATGCGGCCTCGTGCACTTGTTCGTCTAGTCCTACATGCCATGCAGGTCACAGCTCATGGGATTGAAGTAAGAAACGTACTTCTGCAGACTTGGAACCTTGAATCTGCGTAAGTATCAATACCTTGAAGGCAATGTCATCGAAATATCCCAGCCGGGGTCAGTAAAATCAAAGGCTTCTCGCATTTCCGACAAGAAGTTTCTGAGATCGTCGTAATCATCAGGTGATCCGTCTCTGTCGGAGGTAACAAGGTACCTAGGTGCGTTAGCGATCAATCAGTACAATATAGTCTATTTTTGCCTTATTCCCAGTCGTTGTCGATGCCATCTAGTCCATACTTGTGCAAGTAGAATGACACTGGAATAATACATTTTTGACGATTGTAATAGGATCTCACGAGATCGGAGAACCTAGTCTGAGTTGGCGGATCGTTAAAGTCCCAGCCGCCCGCGGCAACGTTCACTCGTAGACCGGGATATGTTTTTTTGAGCCGAGACACTCGAGCCACGACGTCCTTGCAATCATCTGTGATGGTAAAGTCGTCGTTGATGAGCTGGAAAGCTAGATTAACATGAGTGAGGGCGCCAGCGGGAATGTTCTCCGGTTGCGTAACATGGCAAGCTCTGTCTGATATAGCAAATAGCTCATAGTAAGCAATACGGCGCTTCAGTCTCATGGCATCGGTGTTTGCGTCGCAAGATCTCCGTGGGGGCAATTAACACCCATTTCGACACTTGCCGGTGCAAAAGTCGGAAGTCGTCCCGCAGAAGCCCTACTCCGAGCAGCACACAATCACCGGACAGATTGTGGTGTTTCCATATTTTCCACACTCTGCTGTGGCACCACAATTGCTTTGACACCCGTCGCCGCAGAAGTCTGGGCCAAAACCACAGCTACCGTATTTTGAACAGCATCCCGGTTCATAGGGTTAAGAGGATGAACGTGTGCTGCTGGCCTGAGCAACCATCAAATGAATGCCGAGGAGTAACGAGGTGATTATGGAGAAGAGCATCTCTGCCACCAGAAATAGGTAATGGGAACGAGTGTTAGGAAGCACTGAGGAGGGAGCTGATGTCCGGAGTGGTCATAGTCCATCGTGGGCAGTACATCGACTTGGAGGGCTGTCCAAATACCCAATGCTGAGTCACCCTAACTTTGAGCCCAAATCTCGTCGCGGCATATCGATCGGTGAGGTTGAAGCCGGGCTATCACAAGAATGTGAAGCAGGTACCCCGGGGTCATGGTGGTGCTGGAGGAACCTCGCACGGCACCTGCAGGTTTACGTGGAATAAAATGCATCTTTCTGAATTCCTGGCTCCGGCAGAGTAGCGCGTGATACGAGGTTCTTGGCGATATGCAAGTTGGATTGAGCTGTACAGAGCTGAAAGAGTGAAAGGGTGAAAGGTGAGGTTGATGAAGGACATGAGCTGGCCGGGAACGATTCCGAGCATTGTGGCTGCCTCAGGCACATTACACGTCCCTGCCTTAACGCGTACATGCACCACCTCACCAGCGCGACACTGCACAATAACATTCGCAATGCTCAAAAAGGCGAGGTGTGTCCGGCAGACTGACACCATGACACCCCACTTCCGCCGCTATAAGCGATCTGTCCTCCATCACCCTCACGCCTCGCCTTGAGCCGGAAACACGCCTTGCCAATATGCCGAATGCATTGGCCTCGGAGATCTATCTCGTTGAACACTGGGAGGATCACGCTGGCCTCGAGCTTACAGAGCGTCGAGCAAGGATCTATGCAGAATATGTGGCATTGGGAGTTGCTGGTCGATGGCCGTACCACCAAGCTGCACGCTCTGGCAGTCGAAGCCCAACACAGGCACAACTTCGAACCATCATAACGTCCTCCCGAACTTCACGCGAAAGAGAAGTGGCCCGCTTCACGCTACAAGGTGAGGCTCGAGTCTGGTTTCGAATTGCATACGGAGGAGAAGGGCTGCTCTCCAAATACAGTGCCGAGGAGATTGGCTATGCCACTGGCCCGGACGAGGGCGATTCGCTCGTGCTCGAAGATGCAGACCGCTACGCACGGTTCCGCGGCTTACAGGATGCTTTGGGATGCATGCCAGAGATCGTCGATAGTTTCGTCGGACCACAAGACCCAGCCCGACACCACTCGAGCATACAGGATGCAAAGGAAGAGGCCGCACCACAGCTGGAGAATGAAGACGACGAGGAAGCTAAGGAGGAGATCAGGATGGGCATGCAACACGCATGGGTCACAGGAGTCATGTGGCTTGAGGACAAGGAAGCGCAGGAAACCGGTGAAGCGCTCCTGGTGTGGTTGGATGAGTTCGGTCGCGTCGTAAGGAAGAACCGTGTCCAAGACATTACCAAGTGGGCGGCCATGTTTTCGCGCTTCGCCGATAACGAGACAGAATGGTGGAATACTGCTGAAGCAGGCTCTGTGTACGAAGCCGGAAACTGGCCCTGAAATGTCTTACCTGATGCATGACCCGCTACATGCCAGTCAAGCCAGCTCAGAGTAAGAGGGATAGGTTGCAGCTGATAAGAGCACAAGTCTGAAGCACTAAAAGATGCCTGCATGAAGCTTCCATCTGCGCTTCAGCTCTCCTCACGCATTGTAACGGCGTGGACGGAATGACAAGTCAAGGGTGTCTTGAGATACAATCGAACGAAGGATTAAGGCCTGCCAAAATGGTCACCGTGAAAGTCGCTGGAGTTCATGATCTCACCTCCCAGATACCGCATCTCACATCGACATGCTGCACAGATACGTGCCCCTCCTTGTGCCATTTCTCCACCATGCCTCTACCATACAACTCTTCTCAAGTGCAGACTCTATGCCGTCGACGATCCCTGTCGGATGCCGCCAAGCTCTCAGCGCCGATATCAGCTGCAACAACCTCATCTCCGCGCAAATAATTGCTCAGGGCCGGCCTTGGAGCAGTAGCACCGTTCAAAACCTTTGGCAGAACAACTGCGCCTCTTAAATGACAACATTCCAGCGCGGAGTCTCGCTCAAATGCGGCAATACAAGCTATCCGCTCTATGGATGACTCCACGACACAACGAAATTCCGAGCAATTCAGATCGTTGATCCACTTGTGTGGGCTCATAATGTTCTTTGCCCGCGAGATAAGTCGGCCTATTGCTATTCGAAGGTTATGAATCGATCTGCCACTTCTTGCTCGGACTGTCTACTCAAGTACGAAGCGGCCATGCTCTCGTGACAAACTATGGTCGAGGAAGATCAGACCGACCTTTGTTCTCGTCTCAGCTCAGTTCCCGTGGAGTGGCAGCGACTAGATACCCCACAGAACTTCTACGAGTGGAATCCAGCCGTCGGAGACGACTGTTCCAGACTTTTCCTGGGTTATGCAGTCTGCGTGCACACCGTCGGCCCATGGACAGGAACCACAAAGGAAACAAGCACTACAACATCCACCACGACCCGAAAAACACTCTCCACTTCCTCATCCTCATCCGCGCCAACGCAATCCGGTATCCCCTCCAATTGCAACGAATACTATACAGTCCAAGAGGGTGATACATGTCAAAGCATCGTCGATCGTTACAGCGAAGCCTCCTTCACCCTTCGAAATTTCTACAAATGGAATCCTGCCGGCGGGACGGAATGCCCAAAATCATACTTGGGATATGCCGTTTGTGTGGGTGTATCATAAGCAGAATAATGAAGCCCACCGCACATCCAGTACATGTGACATTGAATTAAGCTTTTACCCCTGGCACGTGTAGTGTCAAGGTACCTTACTGAAGAGGTCTTGGGCGTTTCACCCACTCACTCACCTACGCGTACTAGACAGCAGTAAAATCTCTCCTTGATAGTTTCATCAATCATAAGGTTTCTGTAGCGACCACCCCAGACCATCTCCAAACTCACCACATACCCCAGAGAGGCACGAAAGTTCCGAGTCTGGTCTAAGCACATCGCACGCCCACTCCCCCAGGACAAAAAAGCTCACCGTAGTCGGCTCAAGTCCCAAGTGTCCCTTACACCCCCTTCGCCCCAAAGGAGGAAGGGAATTTCTCGTGAACGCGGAGCGAGAAACTTGATCTATCGCGTGTAATACTGAGCAGATCTCATTGGCCTTGAGTAAAGTGCTCTACCTGACCACGCGAATGGTATGCTAGAGGAAAATAGGGGGCAGGAAAGGTGAGAGCAGATATGTGGCAAGGAGCGGTGTGCGCTGCTCGTGTTGCAGCCTGCAACGTCGATGCTGGGTATCGTAGTAGTAAGCACAGGTGAATAGATATACAAGGCAAGCGCAGCTCATTGCGCGAAGCCGACTCTCCGGCTAGTGGTGTTCATGCTGTCGAGCACCGCGTTGATTCCATCCAGGCCTTGACCGAGACTGCTGTCGGACATTGCAACGTCTCTCGAAGCAGGGCGTTCGACGAGGGAGAAGAGTCCTCGAGCTGGAGTGGGAGGTCGTAAGTTCTGGAGGATGAGTGCGCGATGCTCGCCGGAGATGAGAAGATCACGCCGAGTGTTCATGTGTCCAATACCGGCGCTCGAGAACTGCGAGCGGAATTGCGAGACGGAAGTGATGTTCTCGCTGATGAGGTCGATGTCGGTGAGATGAGCCATGGCAGGGGCGTGCATCGAGCCGACACTGCCGCCACTGCTAGTACTGCGTTGCCAGAACTGCTGCATGCTTGCGATGGAATACACATCAGTGTTGTACCACATGACAACACTTTCATCCGTCTGTCCGGTGCGCGGAGTTGTAGACGATACTGAAATTCCACCTCTTGAAGCGACGCCAGCAACCTTGGGTGCACCCGTGAAGAGCTCTTGAGACTTCGCTTTTCGCGTGTTGGGTGTCATCGGTGCGAGATTAGACAGACCTTTCTTTGGCTTATTGGACTCTACCGCATCACCGACAGGAGATGAAGAAAGGTATCCTTCTAGCACAAATCCCTGAATGTGATTCTCGGACCGCAGTGTGCCGAGGACATCCCAGACACCCCACTGACCGTCGTCCATCAAAGCGAGCACACCTTTGCCTGAGTTGACCCATTTTGCGTCAAGGATTTTCTTGCGACGAGCGAGCCCTGGAGCAACGTCTTGCTCTGAATGAAAGCCAGTTAGATATGTCGTAATCCATTTACCGGGTGCTCCTGTCGCCTTAGGAGCTTCGAGCTGCGAGTCGCTAGACCCTGGTCTCTTGGGTGCCGTCTTCAGCGCATGGGGGTCGTATATTCGCGCGGCACCTGAGATGTCCACTAAGAGTACCTGAGCAGATCGGACAGAAGGATGGAATGAAAGACAAGTCGAGGGCGAGGACAAGGGCACAGTCTGGAACCGCTGAAACATGCTTTGCTCTTCACCTGCCAGTTCATGCGCCATCACGGACATAGTCCAGATGTTCAAGGCTCGGAACGCACTAGCAATCAATAGATGGCCCTCGACGCCCTCCTGTTGGCGCTTCAGGCCAGTCGAGGCGTGACTGTCTACCGGGAAGAACTTGACTGCCACGTTGGATGGTACTGGGCCTTTGCCAGCCAGTTCGTTGCGGGTGTCGTAAATTTGCATCCTGGCCTGATCTTTGGCTCGCTCAGCGGGCGGATTGAGTGGAATCTGCAGTAACATGACCGTGCCATTGGACAATGCGATGGTGACGAGCGCGTTCTTCCGCAGCAGCGGAGGCGTCAGCGCCGACGAGTTGAGACTCGGCACTGCGACACGCAGCACGTCCCACTCCATGCTGAGATCCAGTTCCTGTGTTATGCTCGCATACGGGCAGTCTTGATCCAGCTCCTCCTCTTCGTCTTCAAACTCCGCATCTGGTGTATCGTCGTCGTCCAGCACCATCAGCTGGTCTTGCCGCGCGCCGTTCGTCCGTGCTGTTGTCGAGCCGTCTCTCCTTCTCCGGCCACCTCGCCATAGCAAACGTAGCCCTTGTGAGTGGCCGTAGATGATGAGCGTAGAGCCATTTGGTGCGGTGATGGGGTAGATCTGGGCGTCGTGGATGCGGTGCGGGAGCTCGTAGCTGTGCTTATCAGTCAGCCAGTAAGACGTACATGGCAAAGGCACATTTTGATACCTCAGATGGAGCTTCCGCTCGCGTTTTGTGACTCTAGGCCGCATGTTGGCCATTGTACGGGAGGTGTTGACCGGGATGTGGTTGCCCGGCCGAGTTTTGAAGGAAGCTTGCTGCCCTGAACTTTGACGCGTTTTCCGGTCGCGTCTTCCTCTTCCCGGACCCCACCAATCGACCTCACCTCCCAACATTAACCACACTCACCGGCTCATTCACCTGGACGATTGCCGTGAACACGTGAATCTTCCGCCAGAGCAAAGCGCAGAGGCTGAGAAGATGCTGAGAGGCGCCTCTTCACCGCGAGCGACGAATGGCGGCCGTAGAGTCTCTCGGCGTACACTCGCCCACTGGACTGCCCTACCTCATTTCTGAAGGCTTCCTACCACCGGATCCAAAACCGGAGCAGTACCAATGGTACACCTACATCGCCCACGAAGGTGGTGAAGATGTCGAAGAAGAGATCATCAGCACCAAAAAGGCCGTAGTATGGTCTCAAGGGAGATTTGTCCGCAACATCTACCGGTTCGAGCTGGAAGGAGAAGATGTGGTCCAGGCCATCTTGACTTACTTTCCAACCTCATCGCGAGTCACTCCAAATGTCGGAGGAGATCCGAACGGCCAGGGCGAAGAGGCGGACAATGCTCTCGAAGAACCCGGCATTGGCGAAATATCGACATCGACGGTACCTTTAGCCAGAGCATTAGTAGTGCTGCTAAAGTCCAAGGCACACATTTATTTTTTGAAAGGATCAAGTCACATTCTCGACTTGCCTTTTGAGGTTGAACGAGCATTCGCGGCGCCCAGAGGTCTAGTTCTGCAAAGAAAACGCACAATTCGCTCCAGTCTGCCATCCACGCCGCAAATACCGAAAGCGCCATCTAATTCCTTCTTCTCTTCACAAGGCAACGCTTCCTCATTTCTGAGGACCTCAACATCACCAACTCTGGCAAAAACTTTTGCGAGGACTAGCCTTGCACTCACGAGACCATTCCAACCAAGCCCGCTGGGCGGCCATGCCAAGCTTGATGCACTTTTCCAGGACAGCATCGCTGCTCACGGTAGCAAAGATGACGATGACATCACCAATCTCTACACATTGAGCAGTCCGCTCTCTGAACTTGGGGTCGTCACCTATTCCTTGCAGCATCATAAGCCTCGTATCCACGGAAGGTCTCAACCTGGCCTGAGTGTTGAATTTGAAGGTCTAGATCCGGGCGAGCAGATCGTTTACGTGTCGTCACGAGACGAGCTCGCCCATTCGCAAAGCTCCAACTCGGGAGAGATGATACTTTTGGTCACCTTCAATGCGGACATCAACACGGTGACAGTCTGGCACGCATGGTACATCGAAGAGAAATCGCTCAAGGCATTACTAAAACTACGCGCGGAGCACAAGGCCGCCAGGGCTAGACGCCGTAGCTCCTTCATGAACGCCAACCTTGGGACGGGCGCGGCAACACCTGCGTTGCGACGGCGAGATGGAACTAGAGAGAGTTTTGCAGCTGGTGGACTGAATCCTGGAGACCCTGTGGGCTCGCAGGGCACGGCGCTCTCCCGCAAACCGACTAGACAGGAGGAAGAAGCGGCGATGGCTTCTCAGATGGACCCGGACTACCTGCCTGCCGGATCGCAGCCACAACAAGTTCGGGAGAGCAGAAGGATCAGCTCTATGAATGCTGATGTTCGTGCCAGCCAAAACACTGTCAACGCGAGCTTTGGGGGCACTGGGAGCAGGCGCGCCACCTCATTTGGAGGCACACAGGGTCGGCGATCTCTCACTCACAGGAAAAGCCGAGGATCAACTCCCGGCAGCACGTATGGACAAAGTCTAGGAGGCGACGATGAGCCCATGGACCATGATAGTACGATCGAATTTGACTCCGATGAAAATGTGGATGACATTCTTCGGCACATCAGGGCGACTTTCGACCACTCCGGCACAGATGGTATATTTGGAAGTATCGACGACGACTTCAAGCGTGAGCTCATCGTCAGAAAGATATATTCTTTCCCAGTCGGCCTAGCAACCTCCCAAGGGTCGCAGTCCATCTCCAACGGCTTGTACAAGGCCATTGTCTGCATCGAGCCGTTACCCTTTAGCACATCAGACGACCAGAAGATCAAGCTCTACCTTCACGATCATACCAACAGCGAAGTGCAATATGCTACCTTGAGAATCAAGAACCGGTCGCTGTGGCCAGGGCTCGAGCGCTCGCCAGTGCTGTCAATTCCCTTACTTGTTGGAGAGGGCAGGATTGACGGCTGCGAAGACATCTTGAAGTTGCGCGATGGAGATGTCGAAGCAGTCTTGTTCGGCGGGAGGGGAATTCAGTTCTCCCTCGATGAGCAGACGCTCTGCCCGCTGCCTCCTGCGAATCCCTACAGATTCTTCGATCCGCTCGAACCTCTGCATCAGGAGGGGGACGACAACACCGCAGTCGGCAGGAGTAGAACTGTTCAGCCACCACAAAGTCCCAAGGCTCTTCGCCAAGCGGGTCGACATTCAACATTCGATGAGGTCGGCAGCGACGGAACTCATCATCGCAGGCGCTTGCTACTGAAACCCTCGAACACCCAAGTCGATCAGCTGTTGTCAATTTGTGAGATAGTCTTGCCCAAGCATCAAGCGCGCTCTGTTCGCAGGCTCTGGTGCGAGGCATATGCTCGGATCGAAGGACATCCTGGCAGTCTTGCAGCTACAAGCAGTTGCCCAGACTTTGTAGCGTTTGCTGCCACCATATTCGGCATCGTCATCGACTGTCTGGACTCAAAGGCGAAGGCCGCTCTGAACATATCGAAGGTTGCCGCAGGAAACGAACAAGTATCAGTAGGGGTGAATATGAGATTATTCAAGCGCAGACATCTTTCTCGACTGATGGAGGGCGCAAGCTGCGCTTGGATGTCCACTGTACCGACGCGAACTCTGCAAAGATCCCGAAGAAGTGATGAGCTGCGGAAGGATCAGCTTCTAATCTTCGCCGCTACGATCGCTGATGAGATGTCGCATTCCAGCAAAGATATCTCGAACGAGAAGACTGCCTCTACAGCCGTACTGGCTGCTGTACGTCTCATGCTTGCTTTGCACGTCTTCCGTGAAGAACAAAAGCTTTGTCCGCTCTCTGCAACGCAACATCCAGAGGTTGCGCCCATCATCGCCCAACTGGGATTGTGGCTGGGATTAGAGGAGTGGACTCCTATTCAAGGAAAATACTACGATTCAGAAGGCGCGAGTGAGGCATGTTGGTCTTATCTTAGGTCCAAGCCGACACAAACTCCTCAGCTGGGTTTGCTGGAGCAGCCGATCAGCATTTTCCAATGGTTCGAGCACTCGCTCCAGCGCGGCCAGTCGGAAGGATACCCGTCTCTATCGTCTATTGCTCAGATTGGCGGGGACAGCACTGTCTCCAGGGTTCCGGACCAGGTCGCTCAAGGGGCAACTCCTCGAATAGTTGCCCTGTCCAACATCTTGGCGGCTACGGGCAGTCTGACAACAAGCCCTTCGAGAACGGTCCAGCTTCTATCGCAGCATATGATTACGGTCGAGATACTTGAGACACTACCAGAATCAGTTGCAGCGCCTTTCCGAGAAGCCATCGCTCGATGCGAAAAACAGCCACCTACCACTTGGCGAAGCCATCTAACGCACTTGGTCGGACGAGAAGACCTCAACATTGGCAACAAAGTCACCAAAGCCCCGTCCTCTAGATCGCAAGCTGGCATGGATGGGGCCACACGGGATGTACACACTGCGTGCCATGCTGTCGAGCATTCTCTCGCGCATGCAAAGACCAAAGAGGCTGGCCGCCATGCGGTCTCTCGGCTCATTTTTAGCGAAGACCGCCGTCTTGTCGAGGCTACTAGTTTGATGCATTTCAATAGTCCTCAAGTTGCTCAGTGTCCGAAGCAGCCTGACTGGGATGAGGCTACTCATTTCGAGCATCAACGAAGAATCTTGAATTTTGCCACAATCCGAATGATCGCTCTCCCTGCCGGAGACGCAATGATACATTTCGATTGCCAAACGCCCTTGCTCACGGAGAAGTACCATCTGCCGGGATTTAGCAACTCTTGTGTGATGCAGCCAATGGGGCTTACCATGACTGCAGATCGGAGCGGCTTGACAGAAGAGAAGGTCAACTGGGCCTACTTTCATGCTGGTGTCTCCGCAGGCCTGCGCATTTCCCGACAAGTGGAGGGTATCGACACCTCATGGATCGCGTTCAACAAGCCGAATGAGCTTACCAACAGACACGCAGGCTTTTTGCTGGCTCTCGGTTTGGGCGGACATCTACGGCATTTGGCCAAATGGTTGTCATTCAAATATCTCACGCCTAAGCACACGATGACATCTGTCGGCCTACTTTTGGGTCTTTCAGCTTCTTACTTAGGTACCATGGACTCCTTGATCACTCGCATGCTTTCTGTGCACATCACGCGAATGCTACCTCCGGGTGCGGCGGAATTGAATGTTTCTCCAGCAACTCAAACCGCTGGTCTCATGGGCATCGGTCTGCTGTACTACAATACCTCTCACCGCCGCATGAGCGAGATCATGATGTCCGAAATCGAACACATGGAGATTGAAGACCCCGACAACGGGCCCGACATGCTTCGTGACGAGTCCTATAGACTCGCTGCTGGCCTGGCTCTAGGATTCATCAATTTGGGCAAAGGAAACGACCTTCGTGGACTGCATGGTATGCGACTACCAGAGCGTCTTCTTGCCGTTGCAGTAGGACCAAGGCCAGTCAATGCTGTCCATGTATTCGATCGCGCCACCGCTGGTGCAGTCGTTGCTGTGGCGTTGGTGTTCATGAAGACCGGAGACAGAGCTATAGCAAGAAAGATAGACATTCCGGACACGCAGGCTCAATTTGATCAAGTCAGGCCAGATATTCTCATGCTGCGAGCGATGGCGAAGCAAATCATTCTTTGGGATGAGATTCAAGCTGGTGGCGGCAAAGAACAAACCTTTGTGGATCGCAACTTACCCACTTGCTATAAAGACTGGCTGCATAGTACTATTGAGCGTGTGCGAGCGAAACGCACGATCGACAGCACCCATATACCGATGTTCAGCATCGTGACCGGTTTGGCTTGGGCACTCGGACTGAAATACGCGGGCACTGGCAATGAGGAGGCCAGGAATGAACTGCTCGCCTTGCTGAAAGGCTTCAACATCATCGAGCATAACGCTGATTCCTTCTATTTTGATGCCAAACTGACTCGGGCTGCGTTGAGGCGGTGCATCGATGTTGTAGCACTCTGTGCTGCAATGGTGATGGCAGGCACCGGTGATCTGGAGGTCCTCCGGTACCTGCGCAGGATGCACGGAACGACCGATGCTGAGACGCCGTACGGTTCGCATCTAGCATCGCATCTAGCTATTGGCATCCTATTCCTCGGAGGCGGTACCTTTTCTCTGGGAACATCGAATCTTGCTATCGCATCGTTGATCTGTGCATTCTATCCGCTCTTCCCTACAGACGTGCACGACAACCGTGTGCATCTTCAGGCTTTCCGACACCTCTGGGTCTTGGCTGCTGAAGCTCGCTGCATCGTAGTCGAAGACATCGACACGCAGAGACCAATTCACATGCCCATCAAAGTCACCTTGAAGAGCGGCGAGACAAGAATGTTGCGAGCACCTTGCCTCGTACCCGAACTCGACACCATCGCCACAGTTGAAACAGACGATCCCTCCTACTGGCGCGTCACCCTTGACTTCACCAGCAACCCGATACACCTCGCCTCCTTCCAGAAAGACCAGAGAATATACGTCCGCCGCTGTCCCGCCGCCGAGGCGCACACCTCCGTTTTCAGCGCCGCCCTCGCCGCCCTCAACCATCCGTCTGCCGCAACTTCCATATGGCATTCCCTCTTCAACCTTCCAGCTTTCAAGGATCTCGACCAAGCCGATATCGAATTACTCCTTCCTCCGGATGCGTATAGTTCGGTTTATACGGATGAGCGGGGCACCGTGGTTGACGATCGCTTGGTTCTCGGGAAAGCCGTGCAGAGTGGGAAGAGGGATGAATTGTGGAATTTGAGATTGCTGTTTGCTTGGGCGGAGAGGTGTCCGGGGGAGATGAAGTGGTTGGGGGACGAGGTCGTGCAGAGATTGAAGGCTAGGATTGAGGAGCGTGCGAGGAGGGGATGATGATGGATGGAATGGGAGGATCTTCGATGTTAGCGAGGCGTTACGAGATCGTGCGATCACGCAATAGAGGGCCATTTCTCTGGGTGAAAAAATGAACGATACAGCCTTCTGCGCCAATTGACCGTAGTGATCATATTTCCTATGGACTTCATAAGTTCCTCGGGTCCGAATACACTTGCATGCAATCGCCGCTTCTGATACTGCCGGGTATGTAATGTGTAGTCTCAATAACCCTGCCCAAGATTCTAGTGATCATCCTCACCCAACTCAGACCACCCCATCAAACGCCGTGCTAACCCGCCAACCAAGTCGCTCAATTATTAGGCAAATACGCACCCCCGGCAACGACCAGATTCATCTGCGTGAATTTCACCCTATAAACCGGTGTCTTCTTGGTCGGGAAAGCGGAAATCTGATCCGGCGAGACGACGACATCCTTCTTCGTCTTGCCCTTCGTGACCGCACCGGCGCCTCCGACAGTCGTAGCCGTGCCATCAATCTTCGCGCCCGCACCACCTTCCGCGACGACTTTGCCCTGGCTGTCCTTGTTCGGCTGGACGTCCCAGGTGCGGACGGTACCATCTGCGCCGCCGGAGATGAGGACTGTGGATTCGACGCTCCAGTCTAGAGACCAGATTCCTCCGCGACCGTGGCCGCGCATGCGCTTGACGAGACGACCGGTGGCGAGGTTCCAGAGGATAATCTCGCCGCGGTCGTCGGCGCTGGCGACGACTTGGCCATCCGGAGCGCAGGCGAGAGCGGTGATGTTGCCCGTGTGGCCGGTGAAGAGACGGACGGCCTGTCCGCGCTGGATGTCCCACATGCGGAGTGTGCGATCTCCGCCGCCAGAGCCGGTGAAGACGTAGGCACAGTTGGGGTGCCATGCGATCGCTTCGACGTCTGAGTCGTGGCCAACGAAAAGACGCAGTGGTGCGATCTGCGGGGTGCTCCAGAGTCGTGCGGTTCGGTCTGCTGAACAGGAGAGGAAGTAGTGGCCTTGTGGGCAGAAGCGTACATCCCAGACGGGCATATTGTGCGACCTGTAGATGACCAGATTCGTCCATGTATCTAGTGACCAGAGGCGGATCGTCGAGTCTGCCGAGCAAGAAAGAAGGTATCGCGGATGTGAGTCTGAGGAGAGGTTATCGCTGTTGCCTGTCTCCGGGATGGCGATGGACGGTGAGAACGAGAGGGCGTAAACTGGACCAGAGTGACCGACCAGCCGCCGCGAGGAGGACGGCTGCGCATCCTTTGGGTCGGTAGGCGATGTGAGCGGTCGGTTGTCCAGCGACCAGACACGGATGTAGGACTCTGCTGTGCCAACTGCGACGAGAGTATTGTCGCCGGAGAACTCGATGCAATTGATGCTGTCGAATGTGTTGTGGAATGTGAACATGGTGACGCTGACGCCAGGGCCAACACCACCCGTGCGTCCTTCAATTCTGAACCGATCTCTGTTCTCTTTCACTTTCTGCACCTCCATCGCGACATCTCGTGCGGTGGAAGGGGGAAATGGGAGAGCTTCTCGTGGAGCGACGTCGTCGACAGGCTCACGCTTAATGGTCTGTTCAAATTCGTCCACGAGAGAGTTCTGTCCGACGGCTGGGGGATGTGACGAGTCGTGGTCTTGCAGCTCGGCCTTCACGTCTTCCATGAGCTCATTTTCCATCGGCATCGGCCCGAGCGACAGCTTGGAGAGCACGGCCGGGGCTTTCGGGTCCAGGTTTGCCGATCCCGCGTTGTGACCCGGAATGCCTTCATCCTCTGCCGGTGCATCTTGACTCTGGTCGCGCTGAGATAGAAGTTTGGAAAGGCTACGCTCTGCACCAGCAGCGGCTCGGTCAACACTGCGGAGGTCCATATTCTCTCCTATGATGCCGGTGATGATCTTGCCACCATCATTCTCCTTGGCTTCCAAAAATTGAATCAATGTCTGATAGGCCATGTTACTGAGGGATAGTCGGTACTTGTTGTTACGGTAGAGCTGGGCGATATCGTTTTCCTGCACATGCTCTGGCTCGTAGATGTTAGAAAGGGCACGAACATCGTCATGGTGTTCTGACTCGAAGTGGTGCTTGAATTTCTGGAAGAACTCCTGTCCGTCGCGCGCATAGAAGTCGTTGATGCAGGCCAGGAAGCTATACACAAAGAAGGGCCAGAGGAGGCGCTTCAGCTCGGGCTTGTAGATGTCAAGCTGGTTGTCGATCCAGTTGAGGGTGGCTTCGAAGGCCTTGAGGTATTTCTTGCCGCCGAGTTCATCGATGGTGGTGGCGATGGGGTTGCCATTTTGATCGGTATGGGCAGACTCCTTGCGCAGCATAGCCTCCGTGCGGGAGTAGCCTTTCTTGGAGAGGTATTCCAGCACCTGCCAAGGCGGTCTGTTAGCCATGCTGATCTTGATGTCCTCCAACCAAATGCAGCATTCAGACACGTTGGAACGTATCTCTATTCGCGGACTTCAGTGGGCGCGCAAGATAGGGCAAGTCGTGTCACAGCAAGCTAGCCGTAGTCCTGTCGCTGTTCTCCACGGCGTGTCGTGATGCTGTACGCTATTTAGACGGAGGTTGATGTGAACGTGCGAGCGCCGACTCTCAAGTACCTGGACGCACTTTCGGATCGTCGTATAACAACAGGTGGTCATCAAACATCTCGTCAATCCGCACAGACGGAAGAGATTGCTTCGGGTGAGGCGCCATGGTGGACGTGGCGTGAGGTGGATAGAATGTGCGGGTGGAGGTTGGAAGCATGTGAAAAAGCCAAGAATCGCGTTCGGACGACAAACGGGGGTAAATAGTGTTCTAGCGGCGGCGATGCAGCAGCAAACGGAGAATAAAGCAGGGCGACTCACAATCTGATTCAAATTCTGCTGCGAGTTCTGTCCTCCCTGCGCGCCTGGAGTCGTCGCGGGCGGCGCGTTCATCCCCCCGGCGCTCGGCGGACCAACGCTATTAGTCCGCGATGGAGGCTGCGGCTGCGACGACATCTTGACCGTCCAGCGTTGTCCTCTTAATCATATGGAGATGATGCAAGATATTCGATGCGCTTGAACACGAGAGAGACCTGGAGACTCGAGGTTGGTATGGGGTCGCTCCAGCTAAGCCATATTGGTTTTAGCCCGGCGGCACGGCGGCTGCTGACATAAGATTCCCGCCGCATCCAGATCTGATTGGTCAGCTTAGCGATACCGATACTGTACCTTGCATGGCTCTCCAAGCTTCACCCAACCTCACGCTCGAGTCTCGGTCACTGTCCAACGTTCATACAACATGGCGCCAACAGTCACGCCGGCAGAGCGCATTCGCGAGCTCTCCCAGATCAGCTCAGATGTTGCGACCATGCTGGGCTCCGCTGGCCAGGCGATAGATGCGCTGACAAACAGACCCATCAACCGCGAGACAGGCGAAGATACTCAGATGACCGACGACAGCAGCAACACGGTAGAAGCTCACAAGGAAGCGTTCAAGAAGCACACACGAGACTACTTCACGGGCTTGCAAGGTGTGTTTGTGCGCCTGAGAAGACAGGCACTGGCACTGGAAGACGCTGGGATTATCACGGCCGAGTCCAATGTTCTTGCCGGCGCACCGGTTCGAAACGTGCCAGGACAGCCACCAGGAGGTACACAAGGCCAAGGACAACGGACTGAGGGAGAGCGTATCAAGAATGGTGGGCTTGGCAATTTCGATGTGGGATGGTTGAACAGCCGCGGAAACAAGGTTGGCGAGGAGAAAGAAGCCGAGCTCATGCAGGAAGCAAAGGAGTTGCTGGAAGATGTGCTAGCTCGCACAGAAAATGGAGGTTGATCAAATCTCTCCTCCCATCCCTGCAGCTTGGAGATTCGTGCTGCAGAGTTGAGCCACTTTGGTCCAATCGCAACGAGGCAATACCAATCTTGGGCTGTTAGCCACCAGTGAAGATACTGTGCCATGCATGACATTCCAGTACATCTTCTACGCACTTGCAAGAAAGTCAGACGAAGAAGCGACGCCTATCTGATATGGCAACAACAATATTTAAATATATCGCAGCACAGCGCCCGAATGCATGGTCCGACTCGGCAATGATTTGCGGCACATTCGATACCTAGAACTCCATTACATGAACGGAGGTCTCCGCCTGTGCGCAAAAGCCCTTCGACAGCTTGCTACTATCGTCAACGCTGATTTTCGCGGACTCACCATTGGCTCTAGCGAGATGGGCCTCAAGGACAATCCCGAGCAGTTGGCCAAAGCTTTCGTCCCTCTGCTGAAGGCCCGCGAGAAGCAAGCTCCTGGGGGACAGAAAAACGGGACAATGAATGTCGGTTTTGGCGGGTCGAAGCTCTCAAATTTTGCTGATCTGTCCCGTTTACTCTGTCCCACAGGAGGCAAGGTAGATGCACTGCCTACGACGTCCAAAAAGTCGCGCGGTTCTGCCACTAATATAATCGCCGAGGAATGGAGGGTGAGCGACACCATCCTAAGGTGGTCCAGCTCGAACTTGGTGAGGATGAGACGGATGTTGTACGCGAATGCGTCTATGAGAAGCTTCACCGACGGAATCGTCTTCAGAATCGTGGTCAAACTCGTCAGCAGCTTGAGACTGGGCTTCCTGAAAGACTTGGCGCACTGAACTTGGCTTGATCTTGGCGGTCGAGAGCAGACCGCACACTCACGAAGCTTCTAATGCAATTCTGGAGTCTACTAGTTTCCAAAAACAAAAAATCCAGCACATGGCTGTGGTGTGGGTGCGAAAATTTTGGTACGGGATAGAGCTATCCATGGTTCTCTTACTAGCTGGACCTATCTTGACGCTGGGAAACTCAAAATGTTCAACCTCACTGTACAGCTTTACTTCGACAATATCCAGGCCTTTCTCAATAGATTGCCGACACACGTGGGAAGTTCAGAAAGAAATACTCAATTACTTGATCACTCTCGTTCCAGGCTTAGATTTTTCCCGGCCAACCTTGAATCTCGAAGCCGGGACACGGAAACACCATCCCAATATAGGCATTGTAATCGGAGGCTCCGAGGAGGATGTAGTGGTACATGAACGTCATATCCTCGTTGCTGACTGAGTAGTTGTCACAGCAATGTGGTCGACACACCAATAGCAACGACTGCAATTGGGAGCTTCAAGAAAGAATGAGGAGGTCAAGAAAAGTCATATCCTCGTTCTTGGCTCACGGCAATTTTTGGATGCCTTAAAAAAGCGCCCGATCTCCCATATCCTTCCTCTTCCTTAGATTTCACTCTACCCACATTCCACACTACACGCTTCACATACTCTGCCCACACGCTCTAAGCACAAACAATTTTCACACTACCACTACACACGTTCTACACACCGCGCAGACTGCTCGCAAGTCATCCTATCCTCTAGCAGCAGTCGACCCTCGAGAATTTTGCAAGTAGACTGTTTTCCAGCTCTCGCCAACGCGCACAAGCGGCAGTCTACTCACCAAGGTACGCACACGACCTTCACAAAAACCCAAAACCAGAGCTCTACGCACCTCAGAGTTCTTCGCACCCAAGAAAAAGAAGCAGTCTACACGTAACCTTCAATCAGCAGATCCAGAGCAACTACCCTTCGCAATGGATACCTCAAACCCAATCATTCCCTTCAAGAGCCGCCAAGCCATCAGCTTCCTAGATCTCCCCCGCGAAATCCGCACCATGATCTACTTCGAAGCCTTCCAACCGCGCAAGACAAGCAAAACCATCCACCTCAAGACCATGACCGGCACGGGAGCTTTCTACGCCACGGACCCCTCCCACAAGCAACCCATCACCCTCCCCGTCGCCCTCCTCCGGACCTGCAAAACCATCCACGCCACGGCAACACCCATCCTCTACGGCAACCACACCTTCCGGCTCTACAACTGGCAAGCCGAAACCATCCTCACCCGCCTCGGACCCGGCAATCTCCGCCGTGTGAGATTCCTCCAACTCATGGGCGCCAATCCCAACCTCCGACCGCACGTCATCTCGCAACTCGCCGAGAGCGTCAACCCGGATTTCCAAGCCCTATGGTTGGAAAATCAAGCCTCCGCGGAATCTGCGGATCCGGAATGGGAAGTAGAAGCCCTCTTGCCTCTCGTGCGAGCTCTGCAAGCTACGAAGCGCCTCGGGGCGGGGGAGAAGAGGATCAAGGTAGAAGATGTCGTTCATTTCCGCTGTGCGCTTTATTTTGTCGAGGATGTCGCTGGGGCTTGCCGGGGGGATCGGCAGGCCTTCGCGGAGGATTGGAATCGGGCGCAGGCCGCTGCAAGGGAGTTGGAGGGGGATGTACATGAGAGACTGGTGTTGGAGATGGACAAGGAGGAGAAGAAGGAGGTGGAGATTGAGGAATGGGTGATGATTGGGGAGGAAGATCTTTCTTCTTTCAAGGAGGAGGAGGTGGAGAGGGAGGAGGAGGAAGAAGAAGAAGAAGAGAAGGTGGACGAGATGTTTTAGATGAGAGAGGTTTTTTTCCCCCTTACGAGGGGTTTTTTGGCACCGAGGGTGGAGGATCAGGGAGTTTGTAACATATGCTTGCACACGTCAGATGGTGTTGAAGCATATTGTCAGATGATTGGAATGTTCGGGCATGATTTGCATGCATGATTGGAAGGATTTGTATGCACGAGAATGAAATGCAAGGATTGCGCAACGCATAAAGCGCAGTTGATGATGAACAACCTTCTTCTTTTCCATTTGTCTTTTTTTCTTTTTGAAATTTCATCACTTCGTCGTCCCTTCCGCCGCCAGTGTGATCGCGAACAGTTTCTTGAACATATTTGTCGGATCGTACCTCGCTTTGATCCGCTGCAGCCTCTCAAAATTCTCCTCAAAGATATAAATATCTATTGGAAATTTCCATCGTATTGCTACCATCTTCAGTAAGAGTTGTAAAAAGTCGGATTTGGGATGCTTATATCGTAGTTTCCATACAATATTACAGCGCCTTTATGTCCCCTCCTTCCGACACCTTTCCCCGTCTCTTGGCCGTGGACATCTCGAAGCTCTTGCTTGAAGAGGTCTGAGACGTCCCTTGCCCATTGCCGGCAGACTTGATCATTAGCTTTGTCACACCATGTAGGCATCACGAGGGCATTCGTGTGATATGATCTATTCGCATAACTTCCATTCTCCAATTATGTGGTTTCGACGGCGTCGTAGAGCTCGAAAGCCACGAGGGAAGCGTGTGCGTCTGGGTTGGAAGCAGCGAAGCTTTCAAATTCGGAGATGAGAGTGGAGACGAAATGTGGACGGATGGGAAGGAGGGAAGAGGCTCCTTTCATGCTGCTCTGGGCTCCTTGCACGGCAGGGACGAGGTTGGTGACTTTGGGGTCATAGCAAGTGTGGTTTCGATGAGCCCTATGTCGTAGAAGGCTTTGAAGGCTTTGATGTCGACTGATTCGGGGCCGTTGTAGGACACGATGCAGCAGAGGAGCGTTGTACCTCCTGCTGGTGGAGGTTTAGCGAGAGCTAGGAGAGTCATGTCTTTGCCTCCGATATCCTGCATGTTCGTAACAGGAGGCTGATACGAACAGGAAGCTGAGAGAAGGAGTGGCGAGGGCTCTCTTTCCCTTGTCTTCGTGGAACATGTGACGCTGAGGTCCCTCACCGCCAAGGGTTCAGAGAGTCGACGGAGGGACCACGCAGTGGTCTACGACGTGACCAACCCTACACCTTCAAGCTGGTATGACCTCGTACCAGCCATGAACGAATGCATACGAAACTTCAGAGTGATTTCATTCACAGACTGGATCAATACGTTGCGGAACAGTATGGCCGGCGAACAAGAATTCTTCGAAATCGAAGATGAGACAAATCCTGCCGCAGAGCTTTTTGAATTCTTCGCGAAATGGCAGAAACATGTCACTCGTTTTCCAAAGGTAATAGCACCTCAATTGGAAATCAAGAACTTGGCAGAGATCAGTCCGACTTTGGCGTCTCCGCCAGCTGTTGGTCCAGAGTGGATGACTTTGTGGCTGCAAAAGTGGGCATGGCGCGGGATCAATGATGGATCGTATGACTCCAATAGTTTCATGATGGAGCATCTTTATGTATCTAGAGAATTATACCAAATTCACGATCTTGGCGTTGGGTGTTACTGGGTTGGCATCTGGCCTCGCCGTGACCGCGGGCGTGGCTGAATGTCCGACATGATGAATGTCCTGTGCATCTCCTCGTTGCCGCCAGAAAAGCAGAATCCCACTGCAGTATAAAGCTGTAGGTGTGAATGACGAACAAGAGTTTAGGAGGCAGAAAGACGCCCCAGCCCGGGCAGTGGAAAATCGAAGAATTAGTAGTCCCAGCACAATAAGCGCTAAGCCTCTTTGAGATTATCGGCTCATTCCCCCTTACTTGGACTACCTTTCTAGGTGCAGATAGAAGTTACGCCTGAACTTTACATCAACATCATCCCGCAGCCATGGCACCAAGCAAAGAAGAGAGCAAGAAGCGGAGGAACAAGAGGAAGTCGAGGACAGAAGGCATTTTCTTCTCATTTGTGCCATGAAACGACTCTGGCTAATCTATTCACAGTTTCATCACCGTCTTCGTCCGACAGCGAAGCAGAGTCAAAGCCACAGCAGAATCTCATCACCGAAGAGCCCGAAGATTCTGATATGAAAGATGCAAGACCAAATGAAGAGATTAGAGTTCCGCAGCAGCGGCGGCTCGATCCTGAAAAGGCCTTTGAAGAATTCTATCTCCGGCAGGTCACCAAGGAATTTGCAAACGATCTCGACAAATTACGCTCTGCAGGCGACTTCAACGAGAAGAGCATCCCGATGCTTGTCAGAGCGCTGAAACAGGGGACTTCGTGCTTCAGTCAAGACGATAAGCAGAGGATCAGCAACGCGCTAGCAGAAGCGGAGTAAGTAGGATACTAGCGACCATCGAACACCCATCCATCCGAGTCGCCGGTTATCACATCCACGATATCTCGCATATCTGGGTGGTGTCTGATTAGGGAGGCGGCCATCCGGACAGAGTTGGCTGGGCCTTCCCAGACTACGGTCTCATACGCGAAGAGACCACATAGCAGATACCTTTCTTCTTATTCACTTCTTGCCTCTTCTATACTTGGATGCCTTCCTCTCGCACTTTTTCGCACAGTCACACGCTGAATTTGATGCCTTACGACCAATTCCCGGATATCTCAAGGCCCGCTTTCGCGATCACGACCTCTCCGAATGTGCCATCTCCTGCTGGATAGAGACCCACGCGACTCGATACCCTGCGAAGCACCAATAACCGTCAAAATGGACATTACCACCTACTCTAAGATCGACGAACCTGCAACTTGCTTCCTCGACCTATCAGTCGCATTCGCAATACCATCTTCCACCATGCGCTTGAACTCGATCACCCGGTCGTCGTCGACAGCCGCCCTAAACTCTACCAAGATCGAGTCTCCATCAACTTGCACTACAACGGAGAGAGCACTCCGCAAGCGGCGATCAGACTGTTGAGGTCTTGCAACTTTGGCCAATCCGAAGCGACTCTTATCTTGTACAAAACGGACAGCTTTCTCATGGACAACGCCCGGGCATTCGTAAACTTCACGTACATCATCAGGCGCGTCATGAAGTACGGGCGGAATGTCTTCTTCGCTTCGGTCGGATGTTGACGCAGCGATGCGTTCTCTCTCAAATCTCAAATCTTTCTTAATATAAAACAGTTGAGAAGCTTGTTTTCCTGGGCCCCTTTGCAACGAAGTTCTTTGCTTCACAGCAGCTTGCGCTCAAGGTTTTTCAGAAGGCGATCAAGGGGATTGTGAAGGTGAGTTAAGCGTCGGGGAAAGGAACCTCAATCGACGAGCTGGTCGAGTTCAGGTCTTTTCTCCAGTGGACCGAACGAAATGAGGCGCAAGTCACTTCGCTCAAGGCGGAGCTTCAGAAACTGCTTGGTTGAAGAATGCTTAGGGAGAGCTGAGTAGTAAGGAAATGCATGGTATGTACAAGAGTCTTACTCGTGCAGCACCTCTAAATACTGACATGTATTGGCATAGATTCCATGTTTTGTGTGACGCTGTCCGACTTCCAGCAAGCCGAGCATTTATCAGGATAGCGAGAATGCCTTCAGTGTCTGAGCACATGCCGCTCTCGCCAAGTATACAGCGTTGTCACATGCGCACCCACTCTCATGCTCTAAATGTCGCTCATCTCACATGCGACGCACGGACAGTGCAAAATGACCACTTCTTATGAACACTCTCAGTGGATTCCACTTTTCCGATTCTATTTCCAACTATTTGCTCGAGCACAGTATCGTCGACCCTCTCCACTACCACACATCTGATCCGACATTCTCCTCTATACCGAACTCAACAGCAACGCACTCAAACGACACATTCTGCACACTCCAAAAGAGCAAGCATGGAGAACACCAAAACCAGCTTCCTGGACCTCCCACCCGAAATCCGCAACACCATCTACCAACTCGCTCTCGAGAAGTCGCAATCCATCGGAATCAAAAGCAGCATGCATCGCCACTACGAAAGGTACTACAAAGACTCCACTCTTCCAAAGAGCGCAAAGGTCATGCCCATACTTCCTCTCAACTTGAGCATCAACATCCTGCGAACGTGCAAGACTATCCACCAAGAAGCAACCCCAATCCTCTACGGCGCCAATCGCTTCCATTTCCACTGCTGCTGCCACTTCAAACATTTCGCCGAAACCATCGGAGGAGCTTCGCTTCGCTACTTGCGGGAGTTGCGCTTCGCCGCTTTACCCAACCGCTTCGTCGCGACGTTGGCATTCTCCCATCTCAAGGCGTGCCGGGCTCTGGAGAAGCTCACAGTGCCGCATGAGGATATGTATGCGCACAGGAGATGGAGTGTGCCGGCGCTCAGAGCTACGCTGGAAGTTTTGGGCCGCTGCCGCGGGAGGGAAAGCGGAAGAGGTGTGGAAGTTTGCTTGCAGAACAGATGTGGCTATTACTCCCAGAGGCAGGTTGAAGATTTCTCTGAGGCGCTAGAGCGGGAGTTTGCAGGCCTGAGGGTGATGGTCAAATGCGGTCAATAGCGTACTTCCTTGAGTCGGCTGAGAGGCGACGGCATCGGCAGGAGGACATGAAGCTTTTTGAGAGAAGGACGACGGCTCTGTTGAATCTCATACAACAGCAAGCTCGCGAGCGGCTGGTATTGGAGCTGACAAGAAGCCACCGCACCAGAGGCAGGCGGACAGTGGAGAAATGGACCTATCAAAAGCAAACGGCGGTTTGACATTCTTGTTATGTATTTTTGTTATGTGTTCTAGATACCATTCTTCTTCCAAAGGGGTACCGAGAATCCCATCCTAGTCCCCGAACCCTTTCCTATCCCAACAATCTTGTTCACTAATTGCTAGGTCTAATACTTTTTAATAATGGTTAAGATAATTGTTATAAGATTAATAACGATCCCCGATCTTGCACAATGTAAATCCGAAAGTTGCTCCAGCGAACGATCTAATCGATTGAGATCGCTGCGGCTTGGGAAGAGCCATCGAGGCGGCTCGAGTCCAGTCTCCTGTTCATTTCACTCTGCAGCAGGCGGTAGATTTGCTTGAATTCGTCTCCAGAGAGGGATTGTAAGTCGCTCGCTCGGAGGTCGAGCAGAGCTCTGTGCCGCAAGTGACCAGTCGTTGGAGAAGTGGGTATAATTTCTTTCTTGATGGGGACGGATCCCTCGTCAGAAGAACCCCTCGAGCTATCACGGCGTACTGCTGGCTGCTGTCGCTGCTCGCTTCTCGGAGCATCCGCGAAGGGCTGCTCTTGTGCTGGCGCCTGGTTTGCGGCAGCGGCTTGATCGTGGAGCACCATGATGGCGCGGTCGACGTCTGCCAGATACAAGAGCCTGTTCTTCGGGCGTGGCCTGAGCTCGGTTATGGTGGTGAGGGCCTCGATTGCGGCACGAAGGCCCTCTGCACCGGGCGACATGCGCGCCAACTCGCGGATCCTCAGCAGTCCTGGATTGGCCACGTCCCTCGGTGCCAGAGGTTTCGCGTCTGGTCCGGACGACAGTGGCCATAGTGCATGTGGGATCGCTCTCTCACACGGCATGCCCCAGAGCCTCCCGATATGCTTGAGAATCGCGAGACGTTCGGCCGCCCCGGTGTCTTCGAGTTTATGGAAATGGCTAGCGCGAAATTTGGGTTCCTTGTCTTTGTTGGCAGAGCGGTGTCTCTTGGCGGAGTTTGAAAGGGTGCGTTCAGGAGACGGGCGCTTCCTGTTCGTTGGTGTGATGGGTCCCTTTCTGTCATTGTCATTGTCCTCGTCCTCGTCAAGATCCATCTCCTGTTCACTCTCGGATGCAGATGGCGTGTTGATCTCGACCCTCTGAGGATATGTAGACTCTATGTCCTCCTCAGTGGCGACAGCAGACGCTGGAGTGTGAAAGTCGTGGTCCTCATCGGCGTCGTCTTCGTGAAAGTCTGGATCTTGTTGGCTGAGCTTCTCGTTTCGTTTCCTGACTAGAGCGGCAAGTCTGGCTTCATCAGGGTTGGCCATGTCAAAAGCATCTGGATGCACGCCATAGCAGCGTGTAGGGCCCCGCTTTGGGCGGTCTGCTGGTGTCATGTGCTCTGATTGAGCCATGTCCACGTCTTGCTGCTCCTTTCTTAGGCCGGATAAGCCGGGAGTAGGACTCTCATGATCTGCCACTAGACTGCGACCCAGTGTCGCCGGGGACGATCCATCAGCGTAGACGATCGTGTCCTCAGAGATCCCGCGGCCACCAGACATCGTGGCAGCCGCCGGCGTGGGCACATAAGAGTCCTTGTAACTCTGAGGCGTCTGTGCGACGAACAAGCTTTCCATATCTTCCTCCAGAGTGGAAGGCCTGGAATCTCTTTCGTCGACCTCACGGCCACGAGAGCTCTCGCTATCTAAATTATTATTGTTATGGTACGCAGCGACGTTGGACACCTGAGCCGCCTGCTGCGAGCGATAGCCAGGGAACGCCGGTGCTTCCCAACCGTCCTGATATTCGGGAGTCGTCGCATTCAGAGGGCGACGGCCTGGAGGAACGACGCCTTGATTTGGACCATGTATTGGTGCAGGATTGGTATTGCGAATTTCACCAGGCTCAAAACTGCCAGACTGTCTCGACGTAGAAGATGTGTTTGTGGATTGTGGAGACCCCAACGGGATGTCGCCTTGGTCGCGGGAGGGCATGCCCTCCGGCCAGTACTATTGAATTTATTCTACATGTTTCGTTTCATGAAAACATGGCTATTATGGTGACTGTCACGCCCGAGAGGCATGACGCCGACTTAAAGTATGTAGCAACCCAGAGGATCAGCGCGATCTAGGAGCGTAGGAAAAGATGTACGTTCGAGTACAAGGGGAGTGATAATGAAGTCTAGAGTTGTTGATTCTTTCCGAGAGTGCTGAGTGATGCCGGAAGCAGTCAAAGTGCAGGGAACAGAAGAAGAAATTTCGAGGGAAATTTCGTTGTTTTTATACCTGACGGTCTTGGCAGTACCCACATTTTCCACTTTAATTGGATATGCATCAGAGGGTTTGACCAGCCAATCGGCGTAATAACTATGCAGCAAAAACCCGATTAGGGTACGGCCGCACTTCGGACAATAAGTCATTTAATATCACAGCGGTAACGAATGCATTAGACCGTCTTGGCGTCGCCAAAAGGGGAAACGGTGCGCCACGTTATCGTGTTCGTGTGCGCGAATATGATTCGTTCCTTCTATTCAGACAGTCATACTTTGATGTAAAGCGAGATATCTACTGCCTGCAAGGGATAAGTTCGGAAAAATGAGACCATTCACTTAACGATCGTGCACGGGCCAGGATAAGTCCGTAACTCCTAAATCCTATTCAACTCCTGTCACGAGCGACCTTTTCTTACCGCCCAGGACCTCCGATCTATAAATCTCCAATGATCATGTGCAATTCGCATACTCCGCCGCATCCTCGCCCGTACGAATCGTGCACAAATTCCCGGTATTCGTACACTGTACTCCAATCAGCAGCCAAAAAGAAAAAAAAATTCATTTCCAAATTCAAGCAACCACAGATAATTCATCAAAAGGAGAGCCTCGTCTTACAGTCGCCGCCGGATCGCAAGGCACCACCAGGCCATCATCTCCGCTGAAATTTGCAACGGGAACGATGCAGACGGGTTGATTCTGCATGTCCCAGATGCAGACCTAAGGGGAAGGTAAATATAGGGAGTTTATTAGTAGTGCACATGTACATACACAGCAGTCGAAGAGGAGAAGAAGAAGAAGAAGAAGGGGCAGTTCTCTCGAATCCAGACATACCGATTCCTCGTAACCTCGTGGAAGTACAGAAGTCGGGAGCGCGAGGCTGAGTTCCGTCGTCCAGGTAAGAAAGAACGAGCTGAGCGCTAGATACTTCATGTTTTGAAAAGGCTTGCAAGTAAGTTGCTTGTAGCGTGAAAAGAAAAGACGACGTGATGATCCGAAGAGCACCAAGCACCAAGTAAGATGAGGGTTCAAGATTCATATGAACAAGTTCGGTCGGTCCCTCGCGGTGTTTTATATGCGAAATGTTATCGCTCTACCTCGAGCAAGATGATAGCAAACTTTTTCTTTTTTCCTGGATTGTGGTTGTGGTGACGGTGACGGTGTTACGTCCTTCGTGGCAGGGCAAGTTTTATGTCAGGTGTACCTGTCAACCGAAGCTGAAGCGCTCGTGATCGAGTTCGTATGGTACCGGTTGACGGGGTTCCGGGACGACTGCTTGCCATAAGGATGGTAACTGGGATATAAGACGCGTCAGGCGATGACAGAATAACATCGTTTCGGGCGAGACATCTTCGCCATATTCGCACTACGAGTAAAAGACGTTCCACAAATCTATACGGGTCTCTCACGGCAAACACTTTCTGAATATTGGAATCTCCTACTTATCTCGCTTCCTGGGGCTGGCCATTGTGTAACGTTGCGAGGCTTTGCAGTGCCGCCAAAATTTGGAAATCGAGGCATCCACTTCCTTCCCACTCCAGAAGACATCACTCTTCTTCATCCTCGTCCTCCTCATCATCATCCTCCTCCTCCTCCTCCTCCTCCTCCTCCTCCTCCTCCTCTTCTTCCTCCTCCTCCTCTTCCCCCTCTTCTCCCTCCTCTCCCTCCCGCCCATGATCAACCTCAATCGGCATCTGCGAACTAGACCCCGCAATCTTACTCTTCAAAGCCCCCGGCAGCCTCGTCAACTGCTCCTCCGCAATCCGCTGATAATGCGCATACTGACTGAACCGACTCGCCAGCAGATCCGCCTCCGCGCCCGTGAGATTCGTCGAAAGAAGCGCGGAACCCTGCGCTCTCCGCCGAGCTGCTACTACGGCGGGTTTCCGCTCCACCTTGACGGGGACTCCTCTCCGTCCAGCTCTCGCTCTCGCGGCACCACGCTGCTGCTGTCCTTGCCTCTTCTTCTTCTGCACCTCCCGTAGAACTCTCTCCGCGTCGCGACTGTACATGAACGGAAAGGAATTCGGACTCGTCCGACGTCTCTCTTCAACGGCCCGTCGTAGCAGCTTGGCGATCCGGGGTTTCTGATCTGGCCGGGTCTCGTCCGCGAGCTTAAAGACGGCAGAGAGCAAGGTTCGAGCCCAGTGGTGAGGGCGCAGACGTTCGTCGTGGGAGAAGCCGTGGCGTTCGTCCTCGTTGAGGGCGCCGGGCGTCGGGCAGACGGCGTGGGTCGGCCACGACGTCGGATCCGATGTCCATAGGGCTTCGATGCGTAGAACGACCTTGTCCCGGAGGCGTTGTTCTTTTTCGTGGCACGTCTCGTAGCGCTGCCAGGGGCGTGTCCGGCTGGGTCTGGGGATGGCTCCTGTGGTGGGAGGTGCGTCCTCCTCGGGCTGATAGTCTCCGTCGTTGGCATCCTCTTGGCCTTCGTTGAATTCGGCATCCTCCTCGGTTGCGTTTGCTCGGCGGGCGGTGGTGTGGCGATCTAGGACATGTTAGATACATCTGGGGTCAAGAAGTGAGCTTCGGTTTGACCAACGTGTTTGCGGCCGTGAGGCTGCGGTGCTCGACTCTGGAGTGAAGGGGATTCGTCGCTCGGCCTGATCGACCATGTCGAAGTCGTTCGTTTGGCGGGGCAAGGGATGTTGGCCTAAGGCTATGATTGTCGTTAGCAGCCATCTGTAGTGAGGAACAGGATACTGCATTCACATACCTATACGAGAGCGTGAAGCGTTTGAGCTGGGAGCAATCGGCCGATCCTGCTCGGCGTGTCCGGTCATGTTAGCAGTAGGTGCTTGGTAGGATCCTCCCCAGAGCCCTGAGGCTGGCATGGCCAGGCCAGCGTCCATCTTTTGGCGAAGTGTTGCGTGAAGCAATGAGAGCTGCTGTAGTTTGTAAGGTTAGAAAGCAGATGATCCTCTCGTCGGAGTGTGGCAATCAGGAACTCTTTTTTTTTTTGACAATTTTCTCTGTTTGCAACGCGTTTGTAGCGGTCTGCAACGGACCTTGGCTTCTTTCTTTATTCTACAGTAGCATTTCCGAGACATGCATAACCCGCGCTCCTCATGCATCCAATACGCAGTTAGCAATCAAAACTCTGCAAGTTGCACGCTACACCCCGATGCTTGCTAGTAAACGAGCCTTTACAGTCTCAAGCTTGGCTCGCTTGCCTGTGATCTGATCCGTTCGCTCTCCAAGCCCGCGCTTGAGAGACTGGGCTTCGTTGTCTTGCTGTTCCGCTCGACGCTGGTGCGCGCCGGCCTTCCGCATGTACGCATCCGCCTTTCGCTGATACTCATCGGCTAAGCTTCGATACTCCGCACTCGTGTTCTGACGCTCGTCGATCTGGCGCTCTTCCTCCGCGAATTCGTGCTGACATCGTGCTATCTCTTCCTCGAGGCGACCCTTTTCCTCGACTTGCTTGATGATCCAGGCGTGAAAGTCTGCCTTCAGGCTTGGAGGCGCGCCATCGTCTGACATGTGAGAAGGACTGGCCCTATGGGAGTCATGTCTGTTGCTGGACTCCGCCTCTTGCATGACGAGCTCTGCAGACGTCTCAGACCGTTCGCCATTCGTATCCAAGCAGGCTGCGATCGGTGATGGTTGGCTATGATCCTCCGAGAGTGTAGAGGCCTGTTCGCGGCTAGCGACGTACGCTTCCGAATTTTGTCTGATGTTGAATTGCTGGACCCCCAAGGAAGCGCCCGTGGATACTTCAGAATGTTTTTGCCTCCTCGCACCAAGCTGCGATGAGCGAAAGGGAGCCTGACTGCCATCACGCGCACCAAGAGTGGAACTGCGGCGGCGCACAGTACTGCGTGGGAGTTCCAAGCGTACAATCAGCGAGAGATGAAGTACGTCCCAAAGATCGATCATAGTAATGAAGTTCTTGTCCGTAGCCAGACCTTGTCGCATCCGCCTGTTCACCGCCCGCTCCAGCTCAGCTGCTAGGAGCTGCTCCTGTCCACGACCTTGGGCGGTCTCCACCAGCTGCAGGAACGCTCTTAGAAAGTTCAAACCCCAGTCTGGTGGATCGAGACGCTTGTCGCTCGGAAATACCATACGCTGTTCCTTCTCCAAGGCCATTGGAGTCGGGTGGAGTGAGTATGTTGGCCACGTGGTCACGTCGTCGCCCCATATCTTGTAGAGTCGATTGCCGATCGCCGTCCGATGCGTCTGATCTTTCCCGCACATGTCGAAACAGCTGAATGCCCGTGCCCTTACAGGACGGTCGCTCTGGCCAGACCTCCAAGTTCTGCGCCTACCTCGCGGCTTCGCTTGTTGAGCGGTACGACAGGCTTGAGCCTCAGAGTCGGTGTCTTCTCGTTCGTCGTCTGGCCCTTCTTCCATGTCATGGTCATCGCCGCCATGACAGTTCTCACTCTCGAAGAGTGATACAAGTTCCATTTGGTCATGGTCACGATAACCGGTTCTTCCAGACAACGGCAATGTCTTCCGCGACGATCTTCTCCTTGCTGAATGAGCTGCAGGCGTGGGAGGTGGCCCGTCATTCGCTTCATTCTCCCGATTGTATTCGTCAGTGTCAACTTCCATTGTCGCGGCCACGCGCGAGAGCTCTTCGTCACCTTGATTCTCGGGGCGCGTAGAGAGATCCGTTTCTCCGGAACGCTCCTGCCTGATCATATTGGCGACAGGCGCTCGGTGTAAATGGGATGACACTGCCCGCGACGACATGATGTTGCCGGCGCTGTATTCGGGGGAATTGGTCGCAGATGATGTTGTTGTGGTGTGATTGTTTTGATTACTTCATCCGATGCCTCGACGACGCGAACCTCCTTGTGCTACCTAAGGAAGGAACGACCGTGCTCGAAGATTCGAGAAGACATGAGCCTGAGGATGCGAGTGTGCACAAGCCGCTATCAATCATTGACAACGACCATGCACAACGCGTTCGACGAACAAACGACGAGATGGTTCCACGAACCAACGACTAGATCCAGGCAGAAGCACAGAAGCGCCGCAAATTCATGTTTCAGGCCAAGCAGGCAACGACATCCTCAGTATCGACACTTACAGCAGGGGATAGACGCTCCAGAGACGCAGAATGAAGTCCACCTCCTGCACGCTCCCAGTCTTGTGTAACATCTCTACGACTTCCAAACGCGAGGAGCTGCCGCAGACGGGAATTCATTGGCTCGAGAAATTCCTTAGAGGCGCCATACACATACCTCGGGGAAGCTCCCCGAGGAAGCGATATCCTGCAGTAAGGAGGCGTAGTGCCGGGCCGCTGTCGTGTAACCGATAACGTGTTGATCCGGCGCCGTATCCAATGCGAGCATCGCAAGATGTTTAAGATCCAGTGCATCATCTTGCAACATTGTGCACTCTCGGGCGTCCTCGAATGTCTTGACTCTCGGAAGGGCTGTTGGAGGAGGATGCATGGAGTACGTTGGCCACTTCGCACCGTCTTTTCCCCATTGCTGCCTAAGACTGTCAACAAGGCCCATTCGAGCTCTCTGCTCCTGATCGCTGCATCCCCCATACCATAGCACTCGTTGTGCGTTGTCCTGAACGGAGGATGTCTCTTCGTGGATCTTGGAGAATTTCGAGGTCTCGCCAGAGTCGAAGACCTCGGTGTCTCGCGAGTGCTGGAGGACTGCCAAGTGCTGCCATAACTATTCCCTTCAACACTGACGTTCTTGCCAATAGATGCGGAATGTGGATAGGATTAGCTGCTAGTGACGACGATTTCTTCAGTCCGGTCAAGAGAGCTGTCGAGTCAATTCTGCAGAAGAGAAGGCGGATTAACAACTATCGGCAAGACATCAAGCCTGTGGGTCCCCCTTCACGACAGACGACGCCTTCGGAAGTCACGTCTGACTGTACAGAGAGGGAGAGTCAAAGCGCCAGAGCCAAATCATCATCCCCACCTCTGCTCGTCCAGACATTGAATTCGAAGAAACATTGAGAGATATCCAAAGGGCCCGACAACGGCTTCTCGAAGATGCAGCAGGCTATCGCGAAGATTTCGTCTAAGGAGAAGGCGATGACCTCCTGGCAGGATGAAAGCAGCTGTTTCCCAGATGAGAAAACGAACTTGCCCAGTACCGTCCTCAGTGATAATATCCCGGCTTCTCTCGTTTGCAAGTGTGTGCCACCTATTAGCAGAGGCTCGAAGGGCTCAACAAGTCTTCTCAAAGAAGTGGCTGCCTAATATGAAGATTTTGTAAGAATGAAAGAGAGATAAACTTCTGCAGAGCAAAAAGCATCTGATAGCCATACACAGCAAGCAAAAAAAATCTCTCATCAGAATTCTAAAAATCTGCATAAGCCTGTCCCGTCTTCATCTCGTCCAGGCGTTTATCCCACATAGTAATGAAACGAGGTCCATACCGCAACATCATTTCGTCTTTGAAATCGTAATACATCAGCCGAGCCTGCCGATCGCTCGTAGGGGCTACCTGAATCTCGGTGCATTTGTTCTGCCAGCGTCCCCACGCCGTGAGCTTGCTCGGGCAGCGCTGGCCGTGTGGCCGACCGCAGCAATGCTTCGGCAGCTTGCGGGTGTCAAAGTGGTCTTGGATTCGAAAAGGTGGGACTTGGAGGCTGCGGTAGGCGTAGAGGAATAAGGTCCGAGAGAGGGAGAGGGTGCGTCGGATGTGTCGTGGGGCGAGGGGGGCAGGGGGAGAGGCGATATGGCTGGCGGTCAGGATGACAGCTGCGGCGCATGCGTGCGGTGGGAGGCCGGTCTTCATGCGGATCTTCTTCATGAAGTTTGCGAGTCGCTTGATGGTGTCGGAGGTTGTCTCGGAAAGCTTGAAAAGGCGAGCGTAGTGGAGACACCGTTCGGTGAAGGGGAATAGGCACCCGTCCGCTTCTTCAGCCTCTTCTTCCCCGTCGTCGATTTCACGACTCTTTTCAGCTTCGCGCTTGTTCTTCTCGGCAGACATTTCAGCAAGCTCGGCAAGTAAGTCGAACTCCTCCTGTGCTGGTGATTCGTCGTGTCGTCTTTCAAGCCTAGTAAAGTCCTCATCATCGATATCGGAATCGGGAACACTTTCCGTTTCAAATATCATCGCCTTCCTTTCCGGACGCGATTCAACCTCGTCTTCTAGCATCTCAACAATTGGAAGCTCCTCATCCGGCTCTCTGAATTCTCCAGCTTTGTCCCCATCAATTTCTCTACCATTTTCACGAGGTAGCTTCGGCTCAGTCTTCTGCTCGACCGCAGCGATGATCAGTCCATCACCCTCGTCTTCAGGAAGTGGTATTAGCCTGGCGATATCGTCGACCGCAGCCGCAATCTCCGCCTCGCTCCGTTGTACCATGAGATTCTCCGTGCATTCCAGATCATTACACTCAGTCCGCAGTATCTGCCCTGCCTTCTGCTCACTGGCAGATATCATCACCACACCCTCCTCTTCTCCCGTGATTCGTTCTGCGCCCCCCAAGCCGCGATCATCTCCCCCAAGTCCCATCTTAGCTTTCCCCACATCCACTGCATTCGTCGCCTCTTCTTTCTCCCCGGCCTCTTCCCTGCACCGCTCACACCTTCCTTTCCTCAAATTAACGACTCCGTCCCTAGTAATGTAGTGCTCCCACTCCACCGCCTCCCCATGCTTAGGTACAAAGCCCTCCACTTTGCTTCGCACGGTGAGATTTCGGCAGAACTCAGAAGGGTATGAGAACCATGCACAACAGATACTGCAAGGCCAAGGAGGGTGCTTTTGCTTTTCCAGTTCGGCTTTTGGGCGACAAGCGTCGATTGAGGCCTGTCGTGGAGCGGATTCGCGGTTGCAGCCTTCGGTAGTGCACTTGTAGATCAGGAGAGTAGAGAAGCACATCTTTGGTGAATTGTTGAGGCGTTGCTGAGAGGCGTTGCTGAGAGGCGTCCTTGATGATGGCGTAGGGACAGTGGCGATTTCGAAGACCAACATTTAGGAACTTAGGGTTCTATGTCTTGAAGATGAGACTTAGTGAAGAAGGAATAGGAGGACGTGGACGGCCACTCCTCTATGCAATACGGAAGGGAGACAAAGCTGCTGTGGCGACTCGATGCTATCATTAATGTATGAGTTTCGTTATCGCAAACTATCTATAGCACGTCATTAGCAAGAGATAGTCACTGCTGAGCTAACCTGGAGTCCCAATCATCAGCGAAAAAGGTGCTACCTAGCGTTACGCTCCGCATGGCAATTCGTCGACGCTGGTTGTCCTCCATTTGCTTCTTCCGATCCAGTGCGGCTTCGTGTGAGGCACTGAGGGTACCAAGGTCACGATCATCAAGTCCATGCGCGACCGATTCCGCCAGCTGCTTGTCAAGCACATTCAGAGCCTGGCGCTTCAATTGGTCAATTTGAGCTGCTGTTTGCTCGCTCTCCTCCAGCCGAGCTTTCTTTGCGGTCCGCTCCTCCGCTTGCTTCTGCAACTCCCGCTCCTTGCGCTTCTTTGCAAGCGTTTCAGCACGTCGAGCCTTCTCTGCAAGGTACCGGACACTGTGGCCGCGAGGCCCTTCCTGCTCCAGGTTGAGCGGCGGCGTGGTAAAGAACAGAACGCGTCCGAACTCGTCCCGCTGGTATTGCTCACGAACCTCTGGAGGTATTGACAGATTGGCGGCGTCAGGCAGAGTGTACACCTCAATCGATGGCGGATCGCGATAGCTTGCAGTCGGTGGTCGAGGGGGATACGCTGCTGGGTGGGCCGGCAGATTGGGGTTTGAGGACGGATAGCTCGATGCAGGCGGCGGTATAGGCCGAGGCTGCATTGCTTGAGGCTGATGCGGCGTTGTCGTCTGTTGGTATAGTGGCTGCGTGGATGACGGTCGAGCTGGCGATGGTACGGTCTGGCCTGGATACTGTGGATATTGTGGCCGTGCTGGCGTGTAGCTATTGTACCCTTGTGCTGCACCCGTTGATGGAGGCCTTGCCACCGGTTGCTGCGAAGTCGTCGGAGTGTAGGCTTGTGGTGTTGGCGGAATAGCGCGGGGCGGCGGAGTGGGAAGCTTGGGAGGTGGCGGGGGTGTTGGTTCTGGAGGCGGGGAATCTTTCTCGTTGCGTGGTCTTCTGTGGACTGCACCAATCTTTGGCGGCGCACCTTCAAGTCCCCATTGCACCTTTGGGAAGTCATCTGTTTCTTTTTGGTCATCCTTGAGCAGGTATGCAATGGGGGATGGATGTTTCTTCATCTTGCGCGGATGGTCGAAGAGGTCCATCTCGTAGTCTTTGTCGCGCACTTCATCAGGCAGACATGAAGCCCAGGTCTTGATGGTGTTGAATTGATGGGCAGTCTCGTTGTAGCGCGCTTGGCAAACATAGACCTCTGTAGCTAGGGGGAGATTCCGCGGTCGACCCTTGAAATATCTTGTGTAAAACATGATGAAGCATCTGCCCTCCACAGCGTCGATGTTGTGGTCCCTGTAGCGGCCAGTCTTGACAACCTCGTTTCCGTAAAAATGCTTGTCGAAGCGGTGAACTGTCTGCTCCGGGCGATAGTACCAGCAGACGTTGACCATGCTTTGCCCGTTCGCCGCCTTGTATGTCCTATATATCTGGGCGGGGATCGGCTTCGTAAGGTCGTTGGGATTGCGAATGTGCACCCAGTCGCCAACTTTGTAGTGTTCGCCGTTATGTAAGATACCGTTGGGCAGTGGAAGCTTCCCTTCGTCGTCCGCGAATGACTCGTCTGGCTTGGCCTTCTCCTCGTCATACAGTCGTCCGGCTTCCACCTGCAGAGCTACAGCGTCCTTGTAAATCTGTGAATCGTCGGTGTTGTATTTCTTGGCATTGTTGAACATCAAGTTGATGTCATCCATGAACTCCTCAAGTGTCTTGTACTTCTTACGTTTAACCTTTCGCTTGAGCTGATCATACGCCATCGGATTCTTGATCTCAGCATAGTAGTCCGGCATTTGTTGCTTGTCTGGCAGACGGTCGAAGTTCCTGATCATCAACTGGCTGCGGTTGTTTCTCGGCTTGCGGACGCCTTTGAGGATGGTCTGCATTCGCGCTTCCATTGGTGTGAGAAGCTTAGGCGGCCTTCCTCTGGAGCGTTTCCCGCCCTCGAAGTCTTCTGCTGCTTCGCGCTTCACTATCGATGCTCCACTTCTAGGCGCTTTACGCTTCTTCTTCCTTCCTTCGTCATCCTCATCGCCGTCATCATCGTCGTCCTCTTCTCCTTCCTCATCGGACTCTTCCTCATCTTCAGCCTCTACTTCTACGCCCTCCGCTGCTTCTTCAGCTGCGGGAGGTTCATACGTCGGAATCTCTCCCAAGTACGGCAGCGTCGCGGTCGCTTGTGTGATCAAGCCGTCCTTAACCAGCAACTGCAGTTGTTTCTCTAATTGCTCCTTGACCACCAGCGCATCCTGAAATGCGCCGCTCTCCGGTATGTTGAAGACTTGCGCATTGTGCGGAATCAGCGCGAAGTCGCGCACAAACTCGGCGAAGTTTTGATAGGCTTTCTGGTGGATCCTTCGCTTGATGGTCGAGAGGGCCATCGGCTCCTTGATCGTTTCGTAGTATTCGGGGATGACGCGCTTGTTGATCAGACGTTGGAACAGCTTCGATGGATCGAAGCCATCTTGAGTGCGATAGTCGTAGATGGCGTTCAATACCTTGCTCATCGCGGCCCATTCGGCGTCTGGCACTTGGGAGCCATCGTTCTGCTGTTCGGTGGAAGGGACAGGCGTCGAGCTCGGGCTTTTAGCCCGTCCCGCTCCCGACATCTTTGCGATGGCAGCGGTGGTGTTGAATGTCGAGGAGCGAGGTTTCGCGGGAAGGGAGGGATGTGATGCTGTTGATGCGATTGCGCTGGTTTGGGAGACGTGGACGCGCCTATGCTCGGTTTCGTTTGTCGGAGCGGGAGATGCCGCTGCCGAGAGCTTTGATTACTGGCACGTGATAAGCAAAGAACATTCACCTCGTGTCTCGGCGCTTTGCATCATCCGTGAAACATTCCATCCATCAACACGACACGACAGACGCTTCCAGATCGTGACACAGATCACTACGACTCCGATCTCCCGACCTTTCCGAAACTGCAGCCCATACCCTTATAGAAAAGCTCAACCTCCTGACAATAATACCACGTGCACATCTGCCATCTTCGGATCGAGGTCGTCTTTCACTATACATATACGGTCGCAATCCCCACTTCTGGTACGCTTGGCGCATCTAGACATAGACAGTCAAGCCGGAACTTGCAAGCATAGCAACCGCGCCATTTGCCACTATGGCAACAACCATTCGCCTCCGGGTGCAGGGGCCGGAAGGACGAGCAAACATCAACATCGACAGCAGCGCCACATGGTCAGACCTCACACGCGAGATATCTAATAAGACCGGCGTGGCCGACTTCGACATCAAATATGGCTACCCACCCCAACCTTTCAACACCGAATCCATCGACGGCCAGACTAAGCTTTCTGATCTTCCGCACAAGCTCAACGGCGAGCAGTTTACCCTCGTGCCAAGAAACATTCAGGAAAAGCTTTCAAATCCTATGGAGTCTACCAAGCGAGTCGCGGAAACGGTCAAGAATCTGCCGCCACGAGACCTGATTTCGCCGCCTGAGCACAAAGCTGGCGACTCCCCAGACCAGCCACTCAGTCTCACTCGAAAGAAGAAACCAAACGTGGAAAGCGATCCACCTGAAGTTCCAGTTCCGAATCTGGAAGGCGTGATGGTTCTCAGGGTTATGCCAGATGACAACTCTTGCATGTTCCGCGCGCTCTCCTCCGCTGTTCTTGGCTCGGCACTCGATGGCATGACGGAATTAAGATCGGTGGTGGCGCAGACTATTCAGTCCAATCCAGAGCTTTACACGGAAGGCATGCTCGAGAAGAAGCCAGAAGACTACTGTCGCTGGATTCAGCGGGAAGACAGCTGGGGAGGTGGTATCGAGCTTTCGATCCTGAGTCAGCACTTCAACATCGAAATCGCAAGCATCAATGTCCAAGATTTGAGAGTCGACAGGTTCAACGAAGCCAAGCCGACGCGATGTATCCTGGTGTATTCTGGCATTCATTACGATGTATGCGCCGTAACGCCATTCAGTGGCGCGGAACCCGAATTCGACCGGAAAGTCTTTGACGTCGTCAAGCTAGACGGAGAGGAGATTGATGGTGGTGCGTTGGCTGGGGCTCTTGAGCTCTGCAGAACGCTGCAGAGCCGACATTACTTCACGGACACACACGGCTTCTCGTTGAAGTGCAACCAGTGTGGTCAGAAAGGCAATGGGCAGCAGTGGGCAGTTCGGCACGCAAACGCGTCCGGACATTCTGATTTTGGGGAAGCCGATTGAGGTGCGGAACATCTCAACCGTGGGCGACTTTCGAGCAGCCTGCGGGAATTCGAGAACCATGCGAGAGGCTCGAGGATGGAGAAAGCCTTCTCTCACCAATACGAAACGCGCTCCCAACAGACGACACCGCAAAGCAAACCACCCCACCTGCTTTTGGTCGTTGCTCCGAGGGCTTTCATGACGGCATCAAGCTACAGACTGTGAATACCTTTTACCACACCTCAGGGGCGCAGCCAATCAACAAATTCGATAACAGACGCCTTCGAGACTAGTTGGCAGATAACGGGACTCTTCCCCTTTTTGACGTTTTCCCACAAAGCCACATTCGATTTCCTTCACGGAACATTATGAGTCAATTCTACTTCTCTTGGCCCCCCGAATCTCTGCAGGAAAAATCACAGCGCTCTTTCTTTCCTCCGTCCTCGGAGATCTCGCGCTCCCGAGCGCTTCTCCGGCGTTTGGGCGACTTGTTATCGATTCCCCACCCGTTCGCAAAGCTCATTACAAATCGGAAGAGCAGAGCTTTCCATGTGACCTCTCCTCTACACATCTTTCTTGTTGCAAGCTCAGTGACAACATTGCCCATGAAAGTTCATCGAATACATCAAAAAAAGGAAAAGGACCAAATTAGAAGAAAAGGAAAACTTTAAACTAGAAGAAAAAGTAGAAAAACCTCGTGAACCCTGCCCTTGTGATACTCACATCCCTTCCCTTTCCCGCTTCCTCAATCAAGACATTTTCCTTTTCATTTCACAGGATTTTTTGATCCCGTCACCTTGCGTCGTCGTTTTGGTGAGAGATTTGCTCAAATTTTTCTCTCTAATAAAATCTCGCCTAGATTTGCCTGCCGGCCAGCAGATTGATGCTTGAAGAGGATTCAGGCATCAATCATCAGCTGCGGCGGGCAATGTGACTGACTCACGAGCAAATCAAAACAGGGTGGTGCATATGATTTGCGTTCCGGATTAGAGATCCTTCATCTGGGAAGTAGATGGATAGCTCGTGAAATCATCCAGCTCGCTGGGGTTGCTTGATGAGCTTGGGATTGTCGTTCTCCGATGTATGGGTTGGATCATGATGTCTGTCAAAACGTTGGCAGGGCACGGTTCTTCCCCTTTGCTCTCGGGTCATATGACTCTCGTTAACTAACGACTCTGGGGAGGAAGATGAGGGGTCTAGAAGACTACTCTCAGTCATATGATTGCTGAAGCAGACGAGGTCGCTGAGACACAAAATTTTTTGTCGCTAGAAGAAAGTTCATATCTCTCATATTGTATGTATGGTTCTGGGATATCTCGCTACATTTACAATAGTCCACCATCAAAAAACGAAAAATAAAAAAGCAGTATGTACCTTTACACAGAGGCCATGACACGACACAATGGATCCTCTTTTTATCGTCCGGCGATCTGACCCTTGGGGATGGGCTTGATCCAGCAGACAGCAACGTTGATACCGATCATGATGACGCCGATGATCCAGATACTCCTGGCGTAGTTGACGACGGCGACGCCCTTGACGGTGTCGACGTTGTAGCGGAAGATGATGCTGAAGATGATGCCGCCCAAATTTCCCGACGCGCCCGTGAAGCCGGAGACGACGCCGTTGGCGTGGGGGTGGACGTGCGGCACGAGGGAGAAGATGAGGCCGTTGCCGCCTTCGAGGAAGAAGGCGAAGCCGATGCCGATGAGGCACACGAGGGTCGCGAGGTTGTGGGGGTTCGTGAGGCCGATGGCGAGGAGGAAGGCGCCGGCGATGATGCCGTAGGAATGCAGGAGGGCCTTCTTCGCCCAGACGGACTTGGTGTGCTTGTAAACCAAGTCGGACACGGCGCCGCCGAGAGGGCGGAAGAGAGCGTTCATGAGACCAAACATGGCGGCCCAGTTGGAGGCCGTCTGGAGGCCGAGGTTCTTGACGTGGCCCTTGAAGTTGACGCCGTAGTAGGTCCCGAGAATGCTGTTGATGGCGAGTTCGGCGCCGAAACCGCAAAAGTAGCAGGCTCCCACCACGATGGTCTGGGGAGAGAAGCAGACCTTGGCGATATCCCTAAATGAGGGCTTCTGGACGATTTCACCCTGTGCGGTCTCGAGCATTGGTACATCACCCAGCTGTGCTTCGTGGTCTAGCTTCTTCTCATTTTCGATCATGCCACTGGGAGGCGACGATGTTCCAGAGCGCTTGCCCTCGTCGGCAATGTGGCCAGGAATTTCGACAACTCGTCCGTCCACGCTGTGCGAGCGCAAGTTGTTCTCGGCGGCTTGGTGGCGTTCCGACCACTTGCCAGTGGGGGTGTCTTGGCAGAGGAGAAGCAAGGCGATCGCCACCGTCGTGATGAGGATACCAGGAACGATAAAGGTGACACGCCATGCGGTGTGTGGCGTCAGACCGTCGCCGACCAGGGCGTTGTAGACCGCTGGCATAACAAAGTACGTGATACCACCTCCTGCATTTCCCAGACCGGCGGTAAGGGAGTTGGCGGTTCCGATGATGTTCTTGTCGTAGAATCCGGTCGTCCATACTTGGCATGGCACGAAGCTACCACCCAGAATACCGATGAAGAAACGGAGGGCGTAGAGCTGGTGGACATTGTAGGCGGTGCCGGACAGGAATGTCGGGATAGCACCGACGAGCAGACATCCTGCAAACGTCCAGCGAGGTCCGAAACGGTCACAAGCTGGTCCAGCAACAAGCCGAACGAGTAGAGTTGCAACAAGAGCGATGATGTTGGAATTTTGGACTTGGACGGTGGAGAGCTTGAGATCCTTTGCGATCACGTCGTGGAGAAGTGGTGGGAAGGCATACCTGGTTGTTGGTGTTAGCAAGCCGTCTGGGGTGCAGAGGCGAGACCGGGGATAGATAAGACCTTGCCGCCGTTCCGTCATCACTTACCAGGACCAGAAAGCCAGGAGGAATCCAAACCACGAGAAGAAGAATACTCGTCCATATTTGTTGACCGGGTTGAAGACGGGGATCGAGCGAGCCTTCTTGTTGATGGGGTTGACTGGGGGAGCACTCCAGAGGGAGGACAGCGAGAAAGGCATTGCGAGGTGATGAATAAGGAGCAGCAACCAGATGTCAGTTGGAAGTTCAAGCGGTCCGAAGTCAGATTGCAGCCCTACACAGTCAGGCAAATGGTAAGGAGGTAGATGAGGTAGATGAGGTTGATGTGGGAAAGTGTGAAGGGTTGCGTTGGAAGATTCCTACACATCTTAATATTCCAGCGTCCATCTCAACCAAGAGCTGCGATGTGCACATCTCCGGCAACGAAGCGATGACCCTTGCCCACATGTGCTCGCGGAAATGGACAAGACGTTACTGAACCGGGCTTAGAACGCCTAGGCCGGAGTTGCCAGACGCCAAGAGCCAGTCGTGGGGAAGGACAAGGTTGACGCCTGCTTGCGGCTGCTGGCGGCTGCTGATAAGGGCGTGCGCGACTTGGGTCTACAGTTCCCAGACGTCGTCTACCTTTCCCTCCTCCGTGAGGGACGGCGGCTCTTTTGCTGGAGGAGGCTTGCAGCTCTGACGTCTGGACCGGACGCTGACCATCGTGTTGTATGCGCCGATCTCGTAGATCCCATATGTGTCCGAGGCTGGCAATCGCTGGGCAATCGCTACAGCAGCAGACATCGAGGGAGCCAGGAGCAGACCGAGAGCCGGATGAGACGGCTGCTACGCCATCGTTCTCCCCGGACCGCGTGCTGACGACGTGGAAGCGACGAATCGAATCACGAAACATGAAGCCAGGCTCCTCAGGCTCGGTGCAACGACGAGAGTGGGATTACTACATACACGGATTATTGATAGGACGACAGCGCAATGGAAGCCTTGGCGCCGTCGTGAGAGGTACGCTTATCTTTGCCTTCCGATAACATTACCGCTTTGGGACACCCTGGGGGAAGGGCTGGGCGTGATAAGGGTCCCCAGCATCTGGATGTTGAAAAGGAAGCAATGCGCTGCCAGCCAACAGCCATGATGGATGTTTGCTTTGCTGCCTTTTCCGCGGTTCTGTTCGGACTCTGCTCATGAGGTCCAGACCTCGCTGATATCGTCGCGCGGCACGACTCCTCGTCAGCCCATCGCGCCCGCTCGCGTGGCTCGATACACTCTATTTGTTAGCAGGATGGAGATCGGTGCCCGGCTTGACGCGCCTAATAACGACTCGTCGACGATTCTCCCGGTGGATGCGATGTTGGATGTTGTGGGCGAAAGGTCGGTGACGGCGCGACGTGTAGTCAAGGCTCGAAGTGGGCATTCTCGGCAAGATCCGTCAACGATCCGTATCAACCAATCAACGTTGATGTGTCACCAAGTGTTGCGCGAATATTTGAGCAGTGATCATCTGGCTCTGCAGTGTACTGCTAGAGATTAAAGTGAGACTCCGAGGTTCATTAATGCAGTCTGTGCCTCGCATTGTACCTCGTAGTTTGATGTCGTTGGTACACGACCTCTATTTCAACGGAGGAAATACGGACTCCCAGCGCAAGTGCGATGTTGGTCAGGACATATACTCCGAAACATCGGTTGGCTTCTGGCTATCTCCGAGATCGGGAAGATTCATGAGACTGTACTGATAGTTGCCAAGCAAGCGACACTTCGATCTATTCGAGTTGCCATGTTGTCGCTACTACTCAACCGGCCACTTCGACAGTGGCTACCCCTAGCGGAGCCAGCAACTTATGCAGCGATGGTAACCTCAACCTCGACACCAGCCTCGATGTTGATGATGATCTGCTTGACGACCTCGGTTGGTGCGTTCAGGTCGATCAGGCGCTTGTGGATTCTGCACAGAACACATCAGCCGCTTCCTTCACATGTTATCCGTTCTCTGTATGTCCTTACCTCATCTCGTACATGTCCCAGGTCTTGGAGCCCTCACCGCAAGGAGTCTTACGGGTAGAGATCTTGAGGTTCTTGGTGGGAAGACGGACTGGGCCCTTGACGCGCAGCTCCTTGCTCTTGGCACGCTCGATGAGCTCGCTGCAGACCTTCTCGAGCGACTGCACCTTGCGGGAGGTGAGCGTGATGCGGATCTTGTGGATCTTGGGCTGGTCATGGGCCGACGTCTTCTTGGGGTCCTGGAAAGACATCTTGGCGGTGGTTGTTCCCTGGTGGATAGATTTGCGATTTGGTGAGGTTGTGAGGTTCCGACCACGACTGTGATCAATCAGTATGCGCGCGTTTAACACTCTGAATACGGTACGCTATCTCACCTCGGTCTGTAGACTCGGCAAAGTGATGATCGGTGAAGAACAAAACTTCGACTTCTCCCGCCAGCCGGAAGAAATCTTGAGGTGGGATGCCAAGAGTTCTGCTACGCTGACTCAACGAGCGGAACCACCCGCGCACTAGCGACCTCATCTCATCATCACTCATCGAACACCAAACACTTCAATTTTGGTTGGAAGTGATCAGAACTTCACCTTTGACGGAATTACACCAGATTCCACATCATGGATCTTCCGCCTTTTGCGCCTCTGCCGCCGTCCTCAATTCGCCTCAGTCTTGGTCCTGAAGAGTGGGAGGCGTGTTTGGAAGCTTGGCTGACACTGGCACAACTCACGTTAAGGCTGCCTGCGACTGACTTCGACACGAATACGATTGACAAGGGACCTGTGCCGCACTTCTTGGCCTCTTTCTATCGCGAGCTCAACAGCCTTTCTCCCGGAGATGGAACACTCAGCACGCCCAGGGCCATCTCCCTTCGCAAGGCCTTGTTCAAAGTGGCCAGCCGAGCATTCCGCGAACCAGGTTCTCTAGCCACTGAACTACTATCGTGGAGCTTTTTGTCAAATTTCTGCCACGTCCATGTGAAGAGCCCTACATTGCAACAGCTCATGAGCAGTATTTGGAAGAGGAAGTCAGAAACCATCGCGCCATCCTTGCAGAAGCAAAAAGATCTTATTAGTAAACAGCTTGAATCGAAAGACGCTGGCAATGGCTTTACTATGCTGTCTCAGCTTGCTCCAATCATGCATGCTTCGGCTGACATTGGGGCGTTCTTTATGACTGGATCTGACTTCCTGGATTCTCTCGTCAGTGCGTACAGCCGTAGCACTTCTGACCCGCAGAAGAAGTCAGTATCGACGGTGATCTACTTGGGCCTCATATCTTGTGTAAGGACAGAAGTACCGAATACATCTCTTCTTTCTGATCATCTCTACACTTTGAAGAGTCAGGCAGACAAAGCCGGCCCTGGCCAGGCTGTCTTGGCAGACGTGGTCACAAATACGACAGTAATTTCACGCATCCAACAGTCATTAAGCGGCAAGGCACCTGAAAGAGTCTCCAAACTTTTGGACACGCTTGAAACATACCGAGCACCAAGCGTTGCTCGACCGAGAAAAGCTGGGAGACCTAGGAGCAAAGGCAAAGGGAAGCAGAAGAGCACCAATGGTGACCTACACATTCACAAGATGAGCCTTGTCACTCAAGTGCAAGATCTTTTCCCCGACCTCGGTTCAGGCTTTGTCCTCAAGCTACTAGATGAGTACGGAGACAACGTGGAGCAAGTTACAGCTCATCTCCTGGATGATTCTCTGCCGCCGCAACTTGCTAGCCTGGATCGAAATGAGGGAGCTTGGACTTACGACTCGCATCCGAACGGCGGCATAGTGCATCTCCCGCCCCGCTCAACGCCTCCACCCCCCAATCCTTTCAGCTCCAACAGACGCAATGTGTTCGATGATGATGAGCTGGACAGACTTGAATTTGACACCAATCGACTGCATATTGGCAAACAGGACAGGCAGTTTGAGGGCGAAGATGCACCCAACAAGGCGGCTATTCTCTCCGCATTAGCAGCTTTTGACTCTGACGACGATGAGCGAGACGACACATATGATGTGGAAGACGTCGGCGGCACGGTTGACACCTCGCATCCCGACGGCGAGCCAGGCCCAGCTGCCAGGGTATTTCTAGAAGAAAACGATATGGCATTGTTCAATGCGTACCAAGCCTCGCCAGAACTCTTCGGCCGCACCTTTGATGTGCGAAAGGGGCAGGCACGGCAGGCTCTGAAAGCTGAGACTGGAATGACAGACGAAGCAATTGAAGGCTGGGCAATCATGCTGCAGCGCGATCCCAAGCGGCTCAAACGACTGGAGGCCCAAACTGGCGCTTTCGACGGGAGACAGGCTGAATTGCCAAGTACGGCGTACCGAGAAAGTCCGGGCAACACGGAGACAGAAGACTCAGATGTAGCTCAACAAGGAGGCAGAGGAGGATTTCGCGGTCGAGGACGCGGTCGCGGCCGCGGAGGTAGAGGTCGAGGCCGAGGGGGAAATGTTGCCGGACCTTCAAGCGATCCAACTACAGCAAACGCTCAGCGACGCAAAGAAGCAAGTAAAGGCAGCCGAGCGAATCACAATCGTAGGGATCAGCGTGCGAAGAAGATGGCTCGTGGCGGCTTCCCTGGATGATTCGCGATTCGAATCTCGAACATTCTGAGAATGACCAGAGTCGGCAAATCATTTGAGCAGAGAAGGAGACGAAACTCTTCGGGATGATAATATCATTAGTGATAGCTAAAACCCCAGGTTTCCGTCAGACGCACACGATACGCACTCGGCCTCTATTTAGTGCGACTCTGCCCAGGAGCCGGCCAACTTGGGTGCCGCGCTGAGATTTTCTTGTCCATTTTGCAATCGCAGTCATTCGATGAGGGCTTTCTTGTTTTTTCACATGTGCCGCTTCTGGGATTAGCGAACGAGCTGCTCCTTGCCTTGGCGCCGATTCCTGCCACATGCGCTTTCTTGACCACAGGGTTTGTAGTGGGTCCTCGGTTTGCGTCCGCGAGCGTATTCGGGATATTCTGCGACGCACATGGTGATTGCTTGTCTCAGACGATTGGTGTGTTTTGATAGAGACTAGTTCGGGAGTGTATTGATCTGTATACTCTGTGGGAAAAAGTTGCGGATAGTTGATTCTTGAAATTTACTGGAGGGAAGTAGTTGAGCGAGCGACTGATGGATCGCTATATGGATCTTCGAGAAACGCTGTAATCATGACGGATATGTCGATCACCTGAAGAACGGAGCTACTGAACAGCGATCCAGGGATCCCCGTGATTCTGCGGTCACGAAGGCGCATTGTTCAATGCAGGCGCTATAGATTGTGAGGATGGCTTTGAATGGACAATGATACTTTTATGCATAAGCAACAATCGCGAACCGACTTCAGAGTTGCTTCTAGGAGGGTCCCATACTCTCCGTCTACAGCTTTGATGGATGAAAGGACCCGCGTTCACCAGCACGACTAGCAAACACTACGGCAGAAACCTCTCAGTAACGCTCGACTTTAAAGGCCCGCGTTCATCCTCGTGTATCGACGGACCTTGAATAAAACCTTCCAGAAACCGACATGTCCAGCTCTGAGAGCGATCAGCAAAGGAGACGCGCAATTCCCGCCGGCACCTCTATCTCGACACCTCCTAACCTGACTTTCCAACCCAAAAGAAGCACCGCACCTCCAATCCCCTTCACCCACGGCGAAACCCTATGGATCATCATGCAACACCTCCACACCCGAGCCGACCGGGGGCCACAGATTCAGCTGACAGTCTCCACGCCATCGCCATCGCCTTTGACGAAGCAACCGCAAAGCAGATGCTGGCCCAGGAATCCGCCGCAGCCGGGCCATGGACGCGCGCGCAGCTGAACGAGCGGAAAGGTTTTCTCGCTGAACATCCCCTAAAGGAAGTGTATGATGCATATCGCCGGCAGCGGAAGTTTAAGACTTTTTCTGCTGGTGGTGGAGCTGCTGTTGTTGTACCACCACCACCCAATGGGTCGGGGTATCGGTATTTTGTCGGAGATGGGGGGTGGTATTCGGTGTATGTGATCCAGATGGCGGGGGATTTTGAGGGGGGTGGGATATAGTGAGGTCTTTGTGTCTTTGGAGCCATGGAAGGGAGATCATCTGAGAGTGACAGATGCTATCGATAGTGTCGCCATGTCCGAAATAAAGTAAAAAATTCCCTCATCTGTCCACGGAGGGGCGTTCGAGGTCCGGGGCGGATCCTCTTGCAGAATAGATATAGCGGGGTTTCTTGGCTCTTACGAGAGAGAGAGACTAGATTAGAGGGTTTTTAGGATCTGCGTCGCCCGGAGTATATACTTGGCGTAAAGTAATTTTCCGATACTAGGTCAGTGGCTGCTTAGTTACGCTACTAGCGGGTGCATTGCTAGTCGTCGTCGTCGTCGTCGCTAGGGGCACGGTTGGAGAGGGGGACATCACTTGCGAAGCACGTGGAGATCCAAGGAACGACATGGAATGCTCGCTTTCGCTCCTTCTCTGACCTGGATGCTTGTCACAAGGTACGATATGATCTTTTTCCATAGTCGCGATGGTCAGTTAGTCTCATGTATGATGGACTAAAACTCGGCTGTCTCGATCTCTTCCATGTGATGTTGAGGTCCGTGCACGAGAAATGACAACCTGGCTGGAATTGACTCTTTCTTCCCGTCCATCATCTATCTCCATAAAAACAGAATCTCGCAACCGAATGCAGGAAAGGGATAAGAAGAAGAGCGGACAGACTGACTGGGTGGGGTATTTCCAGATTCAGATTCTCAACCTAGGCCTTAGACCTAGCCTTGTAATCCAGCCAGCGAGAAGCGTTCTACCAGGTACCAAACTGAAAACTAAACCACCAAAATAACCTCACACAATCTTTAATATTCAAATCCATGCGTCTCCGTCCTTCTCAGCTCAGCAAGTAACTCCTCGCCCTAACCCCCGAGCCGAGCCAAGAAAGACGCTACTACTACTCCTACTCCTTGTAGTCTTCGTCTTTGGGATCGTCGATCTCCTCATATTTGACGTCCTCATCCTCATCATCCTCATCATCCACGCTGGGGAGATTTTTGGGAGCAGTAGTGGCAGCGGCGGCGTTGCGAGTCCGTCGAGGAAGAGCAAGCGGAGCTGCTTGGCCCGTGAAGGGGTCTTCGATCGTTTGGGCTGGTCGGATGTGCTGTGGAGATTGGGATTGATCTTGCATCGGAGCGGGAGTAGGAACAGGAGCGGGAGCAGGAGCTTGCGTACCTAAACCTCATCAGTACCTCCACAAAAGCCCAAAGGTCCGTTATAAAAACCTACGCGAAACCTGCCCGCCACCGCCAGCGACACCATACCCCCTCAAAAACTCCGCAACCGCCACATCGGCACCCCATCGCTCCAAACCCACCATAACCTGCACAAGAAGGGGGATCGCATTCTGGCCCCACCCGACGAGCGCACCGCGCAGGACACGCAGCAGCGCGGGGGCATAGGCCTTATCGTCGCGGTGGCGCTGCAGCAGGACGCTGGAATCGCACCAGTCGCGGTACGCGCGCAGGAGGGGCGGGCCGAGGGGCAGGCAGCGGCCGTGGATGTGACCGATTTCTTCTAGCGTGGGGACTTGGTTCGTTGCGATGCAGATGGCGTAGAGTCCGTAGAGGAGGTTATAGCGGGAGTCGGTCGTGCCCTGTGGAAATCGGTTGGATTAGTTTATCCCGAAGAATTTTGGACTCGGGGCGTGCTGCTTTGGCAAACCGCCCAGCAGCATAGTAGCAACATACCCCATGTGGGATGAGTTTCCCGGCATCCCTCTCGAGGCCCTCCGCGACGGCAATCATAGTCCGGTAGAGGTGATGTAGTTTCTCACTCGGTTTCAGCGTCACCTCGAAGACGCAAAAGCTGCTCGCGGCCAGGATCGCAGCGCCATAGCCGGCGCGGCACACCCGCTCGTGCACATTCATCCACTGCGCGAGCAGCGCGGATTCGTCGTCGCTGAGGATGCCGGCGAGGTTCTCGGCAGTCACCTCTTGTACGAGGAGATCGACCACGGCGCGCACCTCGGCCATAGAAGGATGGTCCATGCCGAAGTAAGGTAGCCCGCTAGTATATTTGTAAGTGAGTGGTGAGGTGGTTGTTGGAGAGGTGTGTATTGAAGAAGCGGAGGGCGAGTGTAATGTAACAGAAACGTTTTCATGTGAAGTTCTCGTGGTCTGTGCTGCGGGACCGTGCGACTTACGCCATAATTGCTTTTTGGGATTCGGGAGGTGAATGAAATTTGCAGACCCTGGCGATTTCAACACAACCTTTGTAGAGCGGCTGATATAACTTGTAGCATGTCAAAATGTGAAATCTTGCGCGGCTTAGAGGCCGATTTTCAATCGTCTGGATGGTGTTTGCTTGCTTGCTATGTTCGACATAATACAAAGAACGCTCTGTCGCTCCACTTCTAGTATCTGCTATGGTGCGGAGACATGTCAAAAGCTGCTATTGACTTTACAATTGAGCGAACTTAGGTCCAATGAAAGGATCATTCAATGAATGAGAATCCGTATTGTCGTATCACCGTAGGAGCAAATGCCCACCAAACATAGTTGAAAGGTCTTCTGTTGGGCTCCGAGTTCTGCCGGCGTTGTTGCACCATCTTCTCATAGCCACGCCGAGTCATATAAACAGCATCAGCCAATGCAAACGTAACCCACGGATCATCAAAGAAAACCCCAGTAGCCAAGTCGCAACCCCGTTCGTCGTCTCGGCTATCCGCTCAGGTCCATCGCGTGCGCGCCGTCAGCGTCGTCACTCTCACCGCCTTCTTCGTTGTCGTCGTCTTCGTCAACGTCCCAGACGCCGCGAAGAGCTGAAGTACTCGGCTCTGGGTAGAAGTAGCGACCTGCTGGATTGTGGGCTGGCGGTCGCAGTGGCTCATGTAGAGGATAACGGGCCCTGCAGCACACCCCAAGGCACTGGCGCACCCGAAGGCATCCCCAACAAGAAGAAACGCAGTATGGACCTGTCCAGAAGTCGCCAGCATTGGACCTTTACGTACGAATCAGTCCGAGAGGTAAAAGAACACAGCTTCGGTCGCACGATCCTCGGCCCTGTTGATGGGGTTGTGAGCGCTTCTTTTCCGGCATTTCTTCTCGCATGCCTTCCCTCAATTCCGCATGTTCCCTTTCAGGATGCTGCTATTGCATTGGGGGCTCCAATAGATGAGAAGTCAACGTTCAAGAAGCCGTGGGGCCAGTTCCTCGAAGATTGCGAGCAGGCAGTGCAAAGAGGAGGGTATGAGAGCTTTTCCAGAGTTCCCCGAAAGGAGCCAGTTGCGAGGAGGAATATAGAGGTGCCATCTACTAGGCCAGAGCATGAATCGATCGGATTTGTCATGGTCGTTGAGAGACTGCAAAGTGTAAGGACCATCTCTGACGCGTTACCGTCGGCGGAAGCGTGTTCAAGAAAAAGGACCCAGGGCTTGCCAGTAGGACCAGTGCCAGGCGTCGACGGATAGGCTCTCTGATCTATCAGATGCATACACAGGGGGGCAAAGTAAAGTTGTCCAGCCATCGAGACCAGTGCGGATGTGAGCAGCGGTGACGGAGCCACTGAGATCCTTTAATATTTGGAAACGCAGAATATACCCCCGAAAAGAAGACCTCTCGACCTTTCAAATCTCTACTTTCATTTCTCGCGGCCTCCCGGCTCCACGAGAACGCTGTCATCGGATCCCGTGCTGACAAACTACTCCAGCATCAGCTATAGACGTCCAGAATTCGACCATGAACCCACGATCTCAGTTTCTCGAACGTATCGAGGCGGATCATCACCCAGATGGTGGTCGTTCGTCGATACTCTTCGACTCTTATCCGGCGATGGGCCGCATTCGACCGTCGTGCCAGCCGACGTGGAGGCAGTGTGCATATCGCTGCCGCCGAAGTCCTTCATAGGCTGTGCCGCTCCACGCGAAGCGGACGAAGAGATTTCTCTGCTGGTGCGGAAGATTTGTGAGATGACGGGGATGCAGCCGACGATGATGGCTTGTGGGATTAGCGGAGATGAAACGCAGGGGGGGCATCCGCACAAAGACGTACCGACCATGCCTTCGATGACAGCCCAGAGACCGAGCCAGGGCGGGCTTGGGGAGCCGTTGCCCGTCTTTGCGTAGATTAAGAAGACGCGGATGGTGCTGACGACGATGGCGATGGACGTGACACCGAAGAGGCCGGCCAAGATCCACCGGTCCCTCGTCGCCAGTCGCAGCGCGGCTACAATTCGCAGTGGCAGAGCCATGACTGCCAGCACAGTCAGCAAGCACTTGCGGACACCATCTTCCTGTCTGTTCATACTCAGCAAGTCGGTCAAGACGTCGGCGGCGTACGAGTAGTAGAGACTGGTAATCTGCGCCCTCGCATTCCGCGGCGCCGCGCACTTGCCCAAGACGGTGAAGTCGTGCGGCGTATCACAGGAAGTGATCTGCGACACCACACAGCCGCAGAAGGAGACGAGGGTGAAGGCGAGGATGCACCACCAGGCTCGCATCCAGCGCTTGATCTGCGAGATGACTCGGCGGAAGAAGAGCAGCAGGCTGAGTTTGACGGACCAGAGGACGGCCCAGTAGAAGAGGGTGACGGCCCAGTTGAACTTCATCATCTGGGTGTAACTGGCGGCGATGAAGCGCAGGTCGACGGTGGGCGTCGTGCCTTCCAGCCAGTCCATGACGGTGTACAGGTAGGGGAGGTCGGCGATGTAGAGGGCGGCCATGGTGATGTACAGCGCGACGGCAACGAACAAGGCGAAGTCGTCCTCGCGAAGCCGGTTCTGGCGGGTGATGCGCACATAGACTCGCAGGAGGGTGATGAGGGTGGTCGCGACGATGCCGAGGATACAGAATGCCTGTGAGGAGTGGGCGCGATTCAGCCACGCAATCTCCCTCTCTCTCTCTCTCTCTCTCTCTCTCTCTCTCTCTCTCTCTCTCTCTCTCTCTCTCTCTCTCTCTCTCATATCAGCGTGGATGGCAAGGGCAGTGACTTACGAGCAGCACGTCCCTCGCGACGAACGCCTGGAGAATGGCCATCGAGTGCAGAGGGGATTATCGCGGGAAAGTGGTGCTGCACGGGGACAAGAGGAGGGAAGAGCATGTCGAATTTCTCGCGGACGGGCGTCCATGGGAAGGGTAAAGGGGGACGGCGGTGGCATGTCGAAGGCGAGGGCGAGAGGTGTTGGGGCCGGGAGTGGGAGGATGCGGTGCGACGGGGTCGAGGGCGCACGAGCCGCTCACCACGTCGGAAAGTCGAGATGTTGTGTCAACTTCCAAAGTTGTGTCGAGATGAGAGAAATGTCGTGTTCTGCGCGAGATGAATGAGCGGGACATGCACATCGGGCAGCGGGTGAGGAGACTATACGGGAGACGGGAGACGGGAGACGGGAGACGGGACTACCCTACTCTCTACTCATGTCCCGAATCGATCCACGACGTCGTCCTCCGCCAGACAGCACACGGATGCGCCGTTGCTTCTTTGAACAACCTGCACCCGTTCCACCAGTGCGCACCGTCTTCAAAACCAACGCAGCCCTCCCTCATGCCCAGCCAGCTCGACGGCCTGTTGCACTCCTCGTTCCCTCATACGCGTACGACCATCCGTCATGTTTGGCCTGCTGTGCCTCGCGGGCCTCCTGGTGTGCACATTGGCCGGCGACCGACACCAGAATTCGTCGCCGAGTGACAGACCGGCTCATGATTCCAGGCCCACGGATCATGATCATGATCACGAGCGTGTCCAGCTTCAGCCGGTACATGGACGACCGACAACAGCTCGTGTCAGCCAGTGTCGAGAACTCTGCTTCCTTCTGCACAACAAATGCCCCGACCACGTCTGCTTCCCCAATTCCACGGCCTACGACGCCGGTCAGCAATATTGGTCTCGACAGCAGGCCGTCACCACACCGACATGTCGCTTCATGCCAAACTGCGCAGAACAGGTCAGCGACGCCATGGTGGATATCAAGACCCTTCGATGCCCCTTCGCAGTCAAGAGCGGCGGCCACGGTGCCTTTCAAGGGGCAAGCAACATTCCCGAAGGAATCACGATCGACCTCTCTGCTCTCAACGACCTGCAAGTCGACCACGACAACAAGATCACTCGCACTGGCACCGGCAATCGTTGGGAGGATGTGTACGCCAAGCTGGACGAGATGCACCTGGCGGTCATCGGCGGCAGGAATGGTGATATCGGAGTCGGCGGCCTGACGCTGGGAGGTAAGTGAGTCAGCGGAACCCAACATGCTCGCAACAGAAGAACGACAACACCAACTCAACACTCACAGGCGGCATTTCCTTCTTTTCCGGCTCCCACGGCTGGGCGTGCGACAACGTGGCCAACTACCAGGTCGTCCTCGCAAACGGCTCCATCGTCCACGCAAACCCCACCACAAACCCCAACCTCTACTTCGCCCTCCGCGGCGGCGGCAACAACTTCGGTATCGTCACCCGCATGGACCTCGAGACCTTCCCCCAAGGCCCCATGTGGGGAGGCACCGTCTTCTACCCCCGCAGCGCCAACCGATCCATCATCAACGCCTTCTACTGGTTCAACAGGAACGCCGCCATGGATCCCCGAGCGCACAACTACGTCGCCGCCGTCTGCTTCACCGGCGCCGAATGCGGCATCGCGAACGGATACGCCTATTCCCAGCCCGTCGCCAACGCTCCCATCTTTGACAATTTCACCAAGATTCCGTATACCACTTCGACAGCGCGCATTTCCACCCTTTCGAACTTCACGGCGGAACTGAAAGCCTCGCAACCGCCGGGGTTCTATCAGGCCTTTTGGACGCTGACGGTGCAGAATGACGAATCCCTGCTTGCGGATATCCTGAACGACATCTTCTATCCGGCTATTCTTCCATATGTCAACACCACCGAGAACTTCGTCGGCACGCTTGCCATGCAGCCCATCACGGAAGCCATCATCCAGAACTTCGGCAAAAATGGCGGCAACGCGCTGGGAGTGAACGGTTCGCAGGGCCCATTAGTCAGTGAGTCCCCCCCTCCGGTCCCGGGTCATTCGATTTCCCCGTTACTGCTCACACTCACTCACACCCCCTTCCTTCCTTCTCTAGTCCTGAACATGGACTGGCAATGGTCCGACCCATCCGCAGGCCCCAACATCCTGGCGACCCAACGACGCATCATCGACGAGAGCCGCCAGCTCGCCGAGCGACGCGGCCTCGGCCATCCGTTCCTGTATCAGAACTACGCCTACGGTTCGCAGGATGTCTTCGCGGGGTATGGGGGAGAGAATCGGGACAGGTTAGAGCAGGTCCAGAGAGACTATGATCCCGACGGCGTCTTCACGGACCTGCAGCCGGGATATTTCAAACTGAGGCTACGAGGCGGAGAATTGAGTACGGGGCCAGGCCTGTGGTGAAGAGAGATAGATGTAGATCAGATCCCCAATGTTTAGAGCCGCGCTTTGATACACGAAAACCTTGCAGCAATTCTGTTCTCCCTCACCATCCCCTCTGCTCCCGCTTCTCTTTCGCCTTGCCGAGAATCTCGGCCATATTGGGATTTCCCCACGTCTGCCACGGAGGTGCCTCATTCACGCCCGGGACAAGTGGAGGTAACCGTTCCACTCCCGGACCAGCGGTGCTCATCCACGCCGCATGCTCACGGCGTAGCGTGAGGCACGTCGTGCAGCGGCAGGACAGATTGAGCGGCAGATACTGGCCGGGATAGCGCGGGTTATACTGCACTGCACATGATTGTTGAGGTGCTGGTAGCGAGGGATTCTCTGCCACGTGGAGACCGTGTACGGATGGCTGCGTATTATTCTCGGTACCGGGGTTCGAGGGTGGTACAGAGTAGAAGCTCCCCAAGCTGATACGCGACGGGAAACTGCTGGGGAGCGCGGATGGGGACTCGGTCCATTCGTAAGCTTGGCGAGAACCAGTGGTGCGAGGCCAGGTCGGTATGCCTGGATACTTGCGTGCGCAGAGGTCGTAGTGCAGCCCTGCAGCCTCCCAATCTGCTTTTGCGAGAGCAACTTCTCGAGGTATTCTGTGATGCTGTTCTCTGCTTCTGTGCGGGGTTGGGTTCATCGCGGCATGGAGTAGCGCTGAGTCGCTAAGTGGAGTTTGCAGCAGCCAGTGCTCGACCTTTGTGTCGGCTCGTCGAGCGTCGAAGGGACCAGGCGTTGCGTTGTCCTCGTGAAGACCAATGCCAGTATATAGCGCCGGTTTCGCCCCTGAAGTTGGCTGGAAGGGTCGATACGGGTTATTCGATTGCAGGCTTCTTCCGGATGTGATCGACATCGTTGTGTTGGTGGAGTTATTGGCTTCGTTTCGAGATCTGACAAAGGTCAGTGTCTTGTAGGTGTGCTCGTGTGTGCCGTGGCTTCTGACTCCTTCGCTCTGACGCTCTCATAACCATTCACGATGGCATGCTTAGAATGACTGTCTCTTTGAATGCAGAAATCTGAAATCGCAGGTGAATGCTTTCTCTTGTCAAGGGGGAAGACTGCGTTGTGTATGTCGCGTACGCAGTGTTCCATATACTTCGTCACGTCTCGTTCGCGCCTTCACGAGTAGTATTACCAGTGAAGCTTACTTGTCTGGCCAAAGAACTCATTTCTGGCAATCACGAGACTGACTGGTAGGATGCGCGTGTGGCAGAAACCGCGAGACACTCCGGCGCACGCATGCGAAAGGCGAGTCTCACCCGCATCTGTCCTGTGGCCGCAGCTTATGATTTTCACGGCTCTGCTGAAAGATCTTCTCTCGTTCATATCACGAACGAGAAGGATCGGGACAGTATCATTTCAGCCCATCTTCCCTTCCGCACCCTTCGCGACATCCGCCAACTTCCTCAACATTTCCCTCTGCTTCCGAATCTTCTCTTCCAACTCTTGGATCTCCTCTTCCTGCTCCTCAAGCGACCTATCCACATCCGGCAGCCTCTCAATCTCTCTCAGTGCTGCTCTGATCCTGCCTTTGATCTCGAGCGTCGCAGTCGGCAGATCTTTCGGGTTGAGCGGGTCACAATGAACATAGTCAGAGCCGATGTCGGTACTGCCATCTTCGAGCGTGTGGTGATCTTCAGTCGTGAAGACTTTGTTGTTGTGGGCATCGACGCGTGCAAGAAGTTCGTGTAGGGCTGGGAGGAGGTCGAGGTTCTGAGGTTTCGGGAGTTGGAGAGTTTGCACATTTGACGCGGGAGTGGAGTTCGTCGTGGTTTTGATGGGTTGCTTGAGAGCCATGCTTGCGGCGACTGTGATCGGGTGTTGGTCGATGCTGTGAGAAGCCGTGGGCTGTACGCTGCTAACGAAGTTGCTGCGTTCGTGTTGATCGGTGGCTGCTGGTGCAGAAGACTCTCTATCTCGATGATGTTTGAGAGATGGCTTGGCCTCATTCGTCTTGCACGGCAAGACCGCTAGCTTGAGATCACATGCAGATGCCGATGGCTATTCACTCACATTGCTGTCTGGTGGGAAGGTCCGAGCGAGTCCGAGCGCAAACTGAGTTCGTGCCTGCGCATTGATCCCTGTCGCTGACGTCCGAGCTCCTCGCTTAAGGTGGGATGAAGGCCCGAAAGTGGGATGTGACGCTACAACAAAAATTGTTGAGACGGTCTCCGAACAAGTAAACATCTGCCACATCATTTGCTGAGTGACGATATTTCTCACTCGTATTGGGAGAGAGGTCTGGGCGAGATATCAATCGAACAAGACGAATATCCGGATCCATTTTCTGGTCTCCTCATAGGTGCCGACCATCCTTACCGCAAGCAGAAGCAAATACCCATTACAGTCCGCCCATCATGGTGCAGGTCCAGCAGAAAGTTGCTCTGATCTGTATAGACGGATGGGGTATTCCTTCCACCAACGCCGAGAAGACGCCTTCGCCGCCAGAGGGTAATGCCATCCTCAACGCCGAGACGCCATGGATGGACGAATTCGCCAAGGAGGGCAGCAAGATCACCCAGGGCTATACAGAGTTGGAGGCTTCCTCTCTGGCCGTTGGCCTTCCCGAAGGTCTGATGGGAAACTCTGAGGTCGGACATTTGAACATTGGCGCAGGAAGAGTTGTGTGGCAGGATGTCGTCCGTATCGATCAGACGATCAAGAAGGGCGAGCTGAACAAGGTGGAGAATATCGTCAAGAGCTTCACAAGAGCAAAGGAGGGCAATGGCAGACTACACTTGTGTGGCTTGGTCAGTGATGGAGGTGTCCACTCTCACATCAACCATCTCAAAGAGCTGCTCAAGGTTGCCAAGGAGATCGGCGTGCCCGAGGTCTACATCCATTTCTTCGGCGATGGCCGTGATACCGACCCAAAGAGCGGGAAGGGTCATCTCGAAGATCTGCTTGCTTTCTGCAAGGAACAAGGCATTGGCAAGCTTGCAACGATCGTTGGACGATACTACATCATGGACCGCGACAAGCGCTGGGACCGCGTTGAGATCGGCGTGAAGGGCTTGATCACCGGAGAGGGCGAGGAGTCTTCGGACCCTGTCAAAACATTCCAGGAGCGTTACGATGCTGGTCAGACGGACGAGTTCTTGAAGCCCATTATCGTCAACGGCAAAGATGCTCGTATCCAGGACAACGACACCGTATTTTTCTTCAACTACCGATCCGATCGTGTTCGTGAAGTTACCCAACTGCTCGGAGACCAGGATCGCTCTCCTAAGCCCGACTTGCCATATCCGAAGAACATCCAGGTCACCACCATGACCCGCTACAAGACCGACTTCGACCTTCCAGTCGCCTTTGCACCGCAAGTCATGGACGACGTCCTGGCTGATTGGCTGAGCCAGAAGGGCTGCAAGCAATCACACATTGCCGAAACCGAGAAGTACGCTCACGTCACGTTCTTTTTCAATGGTGGTGTAGAGGTTCAATTCGACGGCGAAGACCGTGAACTTATTCCATCGCCAAAGAGCGTGGCAACATATGACGAAGCACCGAAGATGAGTGCCATGGGTGTTGCGGAGCGTATGGCCGAGCGTATTGGAGACGGCAAATACGAATTCGTCATGAACAACTTTGCCCCGCCAGATATGGTCGGTCATACCGGAGTCTACAAGGCCGCCGTCGAGGGCTGCACCGAAACCGACAAGGCGATTGGCGTGGTATACGAGGCGTGCAAGAAGCATGGCTACACACTGTTCATCACTGCCGATCACGGAAATGCCGAGGAGATGCTCACGGAGGAGAAGACACCCAAGACATCGCACACCACCAACAAAGTGCCGTTCGTCATGGCTAATGCACCCGACGGCTTCTCTCTCAAGAAGCAACATGGCGTTCTTGGCGATGTCGCCCCTACAGTGCTCGACATTATGGGCATTGAGAAGCCAGAAGCGATGACTGGAAACAGCTTGCTGTTGAGGAAGTAGAATACCAGAAACGACAGCTCGAGTCATTCGGCGCTTGCACTGGTAAATGAGGTGAGACACGCGACGGTAACCTGGTCAAGACAGGGTGGTGTCTACATAGAGTAGAAGGTCGCTGGCTCTACAGATCTGAAGAAGACGGACAAGAACCTACAGCGATAGAAGAAAGCTGATGCCAGTAGATTAAAATGAATAAATAGGTGATGAGTCAATGAACAGTATTATTCTATGGACCACCACGTATCTAGCCACCTTACTTCACGATCGTATCTCAGTTTACTGCCTCTGTACCAAGTCACCTTCCTGGTCTGCACCACACTTCCAAGCGAAACAGGATCTCGAGTCAGTCACCTCTCACAGGCCGACTTCCAACGGAATCGTTCTCTCTCGATTTCCAGCGCCAGAGCAAGAGAATTGACTTCCGACCCGATACCCTATCAGTTCCGATGTGCATCGGATCCCTGCTCGCTACCCTGTTCCCGTCAGCAACATCCGTGTGCTGTGTTCGCTCATGCAGACAGAGTAGTACGAGAAAGAACATGTCGTGTGTCGTGTGTCGTGTGTCGTGTGTCGTGTGTCGTGTGTCGTGTGTCGTGTGTCGTGTGTCGTGTGTCGTTGTCTATGTGTAAGGAACGGTGACCAATATATGAGGCTGCGCGAGACAGACAGACGATGAACTTGCTGTAGAGAGTAGACTGGAGAAAAGTAGTGGGCAGAGGTAGAGAGCATGTAGCCGGGGTGCAGATCTGATGATAAGGCTGTTGGAGATGGGAGCTTCGGAGAGCTATAGCTCGTTGATCCCGGATGAGCTCATAGCTAGAGCTGTGTATACTGGTACAGAGGGAGGGATGTGCAATGTCTCGAGCACAGTGGTATTTGTATTATCGAGCGAGGCGCGAGCAGCGTTGGACTTGTAGAGAAGCAGCTCCTCCTTTTGGATTACAACGTGTAGTAGTTTTTTTGGTCGATCGAGTCAGAGTATCTCCTCCGTTCCGACGTGGGTTGTGATGCCATCTCATCCATCGTCGGCGCGTCTCTAAACGGGACCATCGTCTTGCACCTTGCTCTTCCTCTCGCTGAAGCCCTTGATCCTCGTCGATAGGTCGAAGACTGTGATGCATGTCAGTTCGTGAACTCGAGTCCGTCTGCATGGGTGGTCTACTCACCTGGAAGCTGAATCGGTGCGTCCACAGAAGCCAGCAGTAGAGCGGTCCAGAGGTACCAGCCAAAAATACAAGTTACAAATGCCAGTGCACCTCCAGCCGTGAACAATGTAGCCGCGGTCGATGCTTCGTTCATACCCGAGTACCAGAAAGCCGCAGCAATACACGAAAAAGCCGCGGGGAGCGGCGAGAGAATCAGGAAGAAGACCAAGTTGGTGCGAATGCTGCAGACGAGGAAGACCAAGCTGAGGAGGCCCATAAATAGCAGGAAGAAGGCGAACGAGTTGAGGAAGCCTGGCTGCATTGCGCCCTCTTGTGGTGCGTTGACCGGGTCCGGAGCGTAAGCCGCGTAGGCACCGTAGAAAGGCTGCAGGACGCCTCCGTAACTGAGGCAGAAACAACCGTAGGACATGAACACGACAGAGATGTAAGTGTTGCCCAGGATCCATTCCATGACACCAGCGACGTTCAGGAGGATACCGCCAAAGAAGAGATAGACTGGGATGTCTGCTGCTCCATTGCCGGGGCGTGTGCCTCGCCAATTCATCAAGAAGCAAGCGAGTGGCGTCACACAGAGCAGGAAGCCAGTCAAGCCACTGTGTCAAGATCAGTACAGACAACATGGTGAGACTGGGATGCGCGGACGTACATTGGAGTCGGATTGCCAAAGGTCTTCCTGAGGTCGCCTTTGACCTTATTCTCGGGAGACAAGTACAGCTTCTCGAAGAGCTCTGGCGGTATAGAGACGCTGCCAGCCGTTCGGATCTTCTCAAGCGCATTTTCACGGGAGTCATTCGGGTGCAGTTGGTCAACACCAATGGGACCACCGTGGTCCTTGTAGAAGCCTCCTTCATCTTGGCCGTTGGTCGCCATATTGTCTCGTCGCTGCTGTACAGTCTCGTGTCTTTCCAGGAGCTCGTCAGTTGGCAATCACTGGAAGAGTGGGAGTGAGAAGCAGGTCGTGCAAGGGATCAAGGGCACTTTTGAATCACTCTTCACCAACCGCCCGTTCTCTGCAATAAGGTAGCGGGGAATATTGGCTGCAAGTGCTTCGAAGCAAGGGGTCAATGGATGAAGGCAATCTGGACCACTCAGGTACTGAAATGGGAATATGCCGTCAGGTCAGACGTCGCCTGGAAGCAGGTCATTGGATCGGTATGCTGCCGGTGATAGCAGTACGGCCAGGATGAGCCGGTAGACACGTCAAAATTTGCCGGGTACACGAATGCCAAGTGCTGCTTCTGTTCCAGGCTATACTTGTCGAGATGCCAAATGCGCCCATCTCGGCCGGATGAAGAAAGGCGTCGTGGAAGAGACGAATGAACCGTTCTCGAGTCATCTCGATGTTCGAAGGCGTGATCTTCACGCCGTACAGAGTCTCCATCACCTGGGGCAAGGGAGGTGTGAACAGGTGAGGAGGGCAGATGGATCGTACTATCTAGCAAGCAAAGGATGAGGTGACGTTGGAATTGGCGAATGATCGAGTGGGTGCGAAGGGTAGACTTAATGCTTAGCGCCGGCTTCGGGTTCTGGTTCGGGTTCTGGTTCGGGTTCGGGTTCTAGTTCTATCACCAAGGCATCAGAGCTTCTTTCTCCACTGTTGTGATATCCGTGACATCTCCTCCCCAACTTGCACTCACGTGCTACACCTGCACAGTCTGCCCCGGCAATGCGATGAAGCGGGGAGTAGCGAGATGCGGAACTCTGACGTGCAGTCGCAACACCGGTTCCATGCCATGTCGACGCGGGTTGGCGGGATGGCAATGGCCATCCTCTGGCTATTGCCGTATTTGCCGACGGCATACGAGGACGTACTCAAGGTCTGCTGGATGTGATTCGGAATTCGACAAAGCTACTCCATGAGCACAACCATCTGCCGCAATGTCGGCCTTCAGCTCGTCAGAAAGGTCTTTTTCTCCATCATGCCGATGGGAGAGATGCCAAGCAGCCGTTTACTAAGGAAGGAAATGGTAGATTCGAGGTACTGGTCTGTTGACACGCTCTATGGGGACTCCAAACGAAAGAGTAGCGCGAGCCCGAGTACAACTTGCACGGCATACGTCCCTGTCCCGATCAGCCTCGACGCCTGAGCTCCTACCGAGCTTCTACGGCCCGCTCACAACATCGAGATGCGCTCAAGATACACTTCCGGGTACTCTAAGCGAGGCATGTGATCGCCTGTGTGTCGACGTACCACTCAAAGTCTACCATCGCCGCGCCATAGATGCAGAGGTTATGACGAACCGTAGCCTACGAGCGCTCGCAATCGGAACGCGTTGGCTCCGTCACTTGCAGATTTCACTACAGGCGATGCCACCGAGGTTGAGGTAAGAATGACCCTCTCGTCCAATGTGCCGCGACTGGTGGATCGAATAGCCTCCTCCTGCCTACGGCTCATGACAAACAGAGTCACCATAATTTCCCCACGCTAGCAGTTCCTTGTCACCAGACTTTCCATGACCCCGAACCTCCATCTTTCCCATCGTGATGGAAACAAGAGTAACGTTCGACTTGACCGGGGGGATTCTAGACAAACGAAAAAGACGTTCCTCGGAAGGAATCCCGCTGCCATCCATACGCTTTTTTCCGTGCTGACCAACACTAGTTCCCCCGCGTTTCACGAAGACGGCTTCGTTCACATTCCCTTGGATATGATTGAATCTTCCGCTGTGCTTTACTCAAGGATGGTGGTAACACTTCTATGATGCCTAGGCAGGAAATCTCGAAGGATCGTACTGAGGATCCATTATGATGGGGGGTATTCCCATTCGGAATTCGAAGATGAGCGTGAGGAGTGCGTTTCGAAGAAGGCTTTTGGGGCGAAGAAGGAGGGGCATCTGCCTCAATTTCTCGAGGTAAGCAGTTCGTATGGGTCGTAATTAGTGCATCAGGGATAGTTACGTACGGAAAAGAGTTTAAGTCATTTAACACTGCAGCACCGTTCCCCGGCAAGAGTTTCCAAGAATTTTTTGAGCGCTTACTTACTTCGGGGGCGTCGGCTAGATATCATGTCAATCCAATTCACCCCTCCGTCGTTTCCCGCACACACACATACGCGGAAGAAAACTTCATGTCTAGCCCCCTGCTACTACTACGACTTACTAGAGGGACGGCATGTTCTTAACTACATCGAAGCCCCACCACACGCAGCAATCGTAGCCCCATTAATCCACCTCGCACCCCCGCCCCCGGCGAGGAAACAGACGCAATCCGCAATCTCCTCGGGAGTCCCCAGCCGCCTCAAAGCGGTCCATTCATTCTTCACGATACTCACCAATTCGTGCGGGAGCCCGGCGACGGCATCGGTATCCGTCGCGCCGGGGGCGACGTTATTGATGGTGATGCCCTTGGCGGCGCTGTGCGTCACGGCGAGGTTGCGCGTGAGGTGTTCGAGGGCGGCCTTGCTGGAGCAGTAGATGGCGACGTCGCCGCCGAGGGTGGTGCGGGCGCCGATGCTGCCGAGGTTGATGATGCTGCCGCCGCGGCGGATGATGGGCAGGACGGACTGGACGTAGAGGAGGGGCGCGAGCACGTTGAGGTGGAACATGTCGTTGAAGGTTTCGGGGGTGATGGTCCCCATGGCGTATAAGGGGGCGTGGCCTGCGTTGTTGACCTGGACAGATTCTTCTTCGTGAGGATAAAGATTTTCTCTCTTGGGGCATTTGATGTTGCATTGCAGATTCATAGTGGGGGGGATGTGCTGACCAGTATATCAATCCCATGCGTCGTGAAAGCTCGCATTGTCTGGTCTACCACGCTGTCCATCGTGTTCGGATCGATCTGTGGCGTTTTGATGGCAATACAATCGGACCCTAGAGCTTTGACCTCTGCCACTGCCAGCCTCGCGGCTTCGATATTTGAGCGATATGTGATTGTGATCTAGAAACATCCTCTCAGCAACAGCGCTCGCATTTCCAAGACAGAGAATGGCTTTGACGAACGGCTCGAGCGCCCCTCTTTGCCATTTCCACCGCAGTCGCCCTTCCGATGCCTCTTGACGCTCCTGTGACTATGGCCACTTTTCCTTGCAATGGCCTGGGATTCATCTCGCACGCCGAAATTGAGGATGTGAGAAAACACATTGCTGCTTTGAGGTTGCACGACCGCTGATATTTCGATGTTTTAACGACGCAAGATGCACTGCGTCATAGTCGGATTCCGTTCGCCAAATGACCAGGTAGCTGTGGTTCCTGACAGGCCAGGAGACGAGGGATGCACAGCTGTACCCATGGGAAGCGGACCTGTGGACAGATTCGACACGGTCAGATAATCGACGCCCATTCGGCTCAGATACCCCATTCGAAGATTGCATCCTCTGGTAGACTTCGGTCGATCGGGAACGGCGGTCCAATGGCAGTGCGATAGCGGTGTATGGTTGGATTTGATTGTCTGATAGTTGCCCTGGAGCTCCAGCGGAGCAGCGATATAGAGACCCCCGTCGGACGGGAAACCCAATCTCGGAAACTCAACACATCTGACGCCTGAGCATTTGCTTCGGGTCCCGGCGCTAAAAGTCTGATTGGATTGTCCTATCAACTGCCGAATCACAATATGGTCTTCTGGCGCGGTCTGAGCTGCTGGCACGAGTCTTGCTACAGCATGGTTCTACAGCACCGATCTTCACCTTCATCGCCCGGAAAGCTTTCCAAGCTCACTCATCAGGTTGACAAGATTCTCCACAAGTGACGGTAACCCATTACGACTCTCGGGAAAGTTCTGTCTCAAAGTCTCTTCTGCCAGCAGCATCAACCCTTTGGAGTCATATAGGGAACAGAAGTCGGTTGACGCATGAATCCAGGGCTCTGGCTCCGTGCTGGTCCTTGAGATGCTTCTCAGACCCGGGACGCCTTGGCCAAGAAGCTTGAACGGCTTGGCGGTCTTGTCATTGCTGTCGTCAAGGTAGATGAGACTGCCCTGGCTGAGTGAGGAGCCCTGACTACTAGGTCTTTCAGTTGCTCCCCCCCTGTGTTGCGTCGGGGTCCTGTCGCCGCTTGTTCGAGCGGTATTTGAGGTCACCATGCCGTAAACCCAAAGCGTTAGCGTTGCCTGATACAATGCCACCGCATAGAAGTCTCGCAGCTTGGTCTTCTCAAACCCACGAGCGATTCTGAAGCATTGTCCTGCGTGCCACACCGCGTTCCTAGCCTCGGCATTTTCAGTCCAGGCACGAACTCGAGGGAAGGCCTTTCGTGCTTCCTGCTCGCCTAGTTTGCCACTGAATGCTTGAATATCTTCCATGTCGGTGTGTAAAGACATCGCTAGATACTCAATTGTGAAGAGTATCTCCGACGAGACGCTCTTGTCCATCTCGCAGTATGCGTTCGTCGAATGGAGATCATCCATAATTTCGCGTTGACGGTTAAAATGCGATAACCATCTATCTCTGCGTCCTTCGAATGACCAATTGGCGAGGAGTTTGGCCTGCTGGCGAAATTGCGAGACGTCATGAGCGAGAGCATGGCATGCAATCAGCATGCACAGAGGCTTGTCGACGTATTCGTGCATACCGTTAAGGAGGCTCAAGTTTCCAAACAGGTCCATTACGGATGGTAAGGACTGTCGGTCCGGCGGTCGTTTCATTAGATGTGCGTTTCTCCAGGAATGGGCATTTGGGGCCAGCCATAGATCTAACGAGGCCGGTAAGGGCAACATCAATTGCGCGGGTGAAAGCATCTGGCCTTGCAGATTTGCCAGGGCAACTCGAGATTCGTAGACGAATGTGTGTAGAACCAGCCTTTTTCGGGTCTCCTGCTCTAACCAAGACTTCCACTTATCCCGGAGAACGTCGTCGGAATCATTGACAAGCGGCGTAAAGTCCTGATACCGAAACTTGGTGAAGGACTGTGACCAGGTCAGCATCGTGGTCACGGGCTGCAAGAAAGATTGCGCGATTTCCGTCTTCCTCCGAAAGCCACTCCAGACACCGACGTCAAGCCAAAGGAGGAATGCCTGCAAAGGCTGTATCTCTCGCGTCGTGCTATTGTCGCCCTCAAAGACCTCGGCCACAGCAAGACGAGCCACTTCCTGTATGACGAGCCCCGTTTTCCACACAGGGTCGAGGGCAATATATCTCGAACCACTGGCCACCATAGCTAAGAGTAGCTCGGTTCTGGACGTTCGACTTGAGAATGTAGGCGCATGGATGCATGAGTCAAGAGAGTTACAGTCCTGGAGCAAGCAGACATTGATCAGGTCCTCCAGCAGCTTTAAAGAGGGAAAAGAAGGAATTGAAAGCCTTGAAGATGCAACTTGAGTCACAGTGCGAATCATGCGATCTCTAGCCTCACCGTCCAGCTCACAGTGTGCTGCGCGGTGAACGCTCGAGCTCACATGCCGATGTGTAGCTGACACCCCGTCCTCTCGCACGTTGATTTCTTCCTGGCCAGTAAAGGCATGGTGGTTGCGGGGCGGAATCCAGGAATTCCACGACCACGGTGATCGCTGGAATGCTTCTGAGCGAAGCTGAGCATTCGAATGGGGGGTGGAGGCCTGATGATTGGCCTGCTGATGGCCGTTGGGGAAACCGTGGGCGGTCGAGGGTCGCGTTAAGCCGCCCGCGAGAAAGGTGAAGTCGAAGTCCAAGTCCAGAGCATCCAGATTGACGTCTTGGGTGAAGTTGGACACGTCAGGAGGTATTGCGAGCTGTGTCGGAGGTCCGTAATCCGGCATCATGATCTGCTCGAAGAAGTCCGGGAAGCTAAGATCATCCAGGGAGGTATCCGCACCCAATGAGTCCGGCTGGAATCCGTGAGGGGTGAAGACGGCGACGCTCTCTTCGGGGCGACTGGTTGCGTCTGTACTGCGTGGCAAAGACACCGGCGTCTCGAGGAGGGGCCCGGTGTTGCTCGTGGAGCCTTCGTGTCTCGTTTCGCCGCCGCGCCCCTCGCTTTCTACACACACCATGTCCCGCGTCTTGCACCGTTTGCAAGGCCGCTCGTCATCGCACTTGGTCTTGGCTTTGATACAAGCCTCACAGGCTCGGGGCGTCCGACGTCGAGAGACATCTCCCGTGGAGTTCTTGGCGTGGGCGGCGCGATGTCGATTCAGAAGATCCGCGCGGTTGAAGCCTTTGCCGCAGTCCTCGCAGCGATGGGAGCGCTCGTTGTCGTGCGACTTGAGATGGCGGCTCAGGTGGTCATATCTTTCGTAGGATCTGCTGCACAGGTAGCAGCGATGACGGGTGACGTCCGTCGAAGCAGGCGACTGGGACTCGATACTACTACTGTGCTCGGCCTCGGCCTGCATCCGGACGGGAAGGCTCGCGTCGCGCCGGCTGGTGGTGGGCTGGCTGTTGCTGCGACCTGGCAGTGGGACGGGAGACTCTTCCGGGGACGGTGGGCGGTGGGTGTGATTGGGCCGAGTCACATGCTTATCGACGAGCAGAGTCTGAGTGGTTTCCGGCGACGGTGGACATGCTCTCTCCTTCTCAGGACGGGATAGTAGAACGGGGTTGTCATCACACTGCAGCGAGAGGAACGGCCCAGTTCCGATCCCGAAGATGAATAATACAGAATCTTAGTCATGCACGGTCTCAGCACACAGACCACTGAGTCGTCTACGCAAGACATATCCGGTACTAGGGTAGTCCTTATACGTAGTCAGCTTACTAGTCGACATATTATATTAATTCAAGTCTATAATATTAAGTCTATAACTTAATAATCTTATAATG